GTGTGGGTGTTTTTGTGGAGAGGTCTGTGCAGGGATTGAGTGCTAGAAATGCCCTTCCCAGAGCTAAGCATGAGAGTGGTTGCTGATTTGGAAGCCTTAATTAGAAAGTTTGAGGGCAATACATCTGTAACGTGCACTACTCTCTCGTCCACTACTGTGAATATCGAGCGACTCGTTCAGGTCTTGCCTTGCCCACAGTGCTCTTTGCTCGGGGCAACTCAACTCTGCCCTAGAATTTATTTTTATATAAATATTTACAGAGCAACTCCAGAGAAGTGGGGCGGGGGGTAGGAAAGGATTCCTGGGCCTGGTGGAGATTAAGCTCCCAGTGCTACTACAGGGGATGAAAAGCCCAAATCTAGAAACCTTAGACATTAGTTCCTTGATACCTCATTAATGCTACTCCCAGGGAAATCTGTAGACAGGGAAAGGGGAGGAGTGGACAACCCTGCCTTTCAAGCGGGTCAGGTTCAGCTTCATGGAACCAGTTAATGATAGAAGCCAACTTCTGCCTTTGTGCATCTGTGGGAACACACCATTCTGCCCACTCGAGTCTCACCATCCATCCCTTCTTTCCCCAAACCACATGAGAGGTTCTCCTCACCTCCCTCCTCCCAGAATCAGAGACAGCCAAGTTCACAGCCCTGGCCCAAAGGAAATAGGATTAAAACATCTACAGAGTCAAGAGATACTAGAAAAATCAGAAATGCAAAATCTGGGATTCTGTTAAAGTTACAACCCCACCCCCATTTCCTTGAATGGTCACTAAACACTGTTCTACACAAGAACTTTGGACAGGATGAGTTTTTTAAAAATCCCCAGCAGCTAATCTGAAGCCTATTTGTTAGCTTTGAGGACAGAGTATGTTTGCATAAGTGAAGTCCATAAATAGTCCAGGGACGCATACATGATCCATACTTCCTGGCCTGCACCCTAGGCTGCAATGGGTGTTGATCCTTCTGGGGTAGCGCTAAAGGGCTCCAGGATGGTCGGGGAACATGTAAAATGTTCTCTATCCCAGAGGCAGTGATTAAAAGTCAGAAGGAATTTTGCTTCAAAACCCTAGTGCTGCTAGGCGTGGTGGTGCATGCCTGTAATCCGTAGCGTTTGGGAGGCTGAGGCAGGAGGATCTCCATGAATTCAAGGCCAACCTAGGCTACATAGTGAGTTCAAGGCCATCCTGAACTACAAAGTGAGATCCTGTCTCAAAAACAAAAACAAAACAAAAACCTAGTGCTGAGCTGGGTATGGTGGAACACATCTGTAATCCCAGCACACAGGAGGCTGAGGCAGCAGGCCGTTCACAGATTTAGTGAAATCCTGTCTCAGAATAAAAAGTAGGGGTGAGGGTGTTGTAGCTCAGTGTGCAGGCCTTGGGTTCAATCTCCAGTACTGAAACACACAACAATAACAACAATAACAACCTAGTGCTGCTGCACCTGTAATCATAGTTATTTGGGAGGTTGAGGCAGGGGTATCTCAATTTCTAGACCAGCCTGGTCAAGTTAGCTATGTACCATAACCCTGTCTCAAAATTAAAAAAATTTAAAGGTCTGTGAGTATAGTTCAAGAGTGCCCCTGGTTTTTATCACCAGTACAAGAAAAAAGAAAAGGAAGGAAGAAAGAGAGAAAGAGGCAAGCTAGTGCTGCTCCTTCGTGCCGCATGACACTGAACCAGTGAGTTAACTTCTGTGGCACCACTTTCTCATCTATGAAAGGGAGACAACTGTGGACCCTGGTCCCAAAAGAGTACTGTGAGAAGGTAATATTCATAAACAGCAGGGACACATATCACAGCTGACATTTACTGAGCACTTATTCTGTGTAGCATAAAAAAAAAGAAAAAAGGGGGACAGAACCATACTATGCCCTCCTTGGAACTCCTGGGCACTTTGTCCCACACTTGCCTATCTGCACATCAGTCTTCCTGGTAAGTCTATCCTCGGTATGTCTTAGCTCCAGAGCAGAATCTGGGTCTTTTTTATCTTCAGTTGCCTAAGGGTTATAGCAGGCTCAGAAGAGAAGTGGAACTAGGGGATAAGATCACTCCAGTTTCTTCTCATTACTGCCCGCAGGGGCCCACATCTGCTGCCTGCATCATCCTGGTGGACACACTGCCTGAAGTATATGAAGCCCATCACCACTTTGAGTCCTTGTCTCTGCTCTTTTCCTTTCTGGCCTGAGACCCTTGAAGCCCTTCCTGACCACCTTGTGCTTTTAGACACTGCTGCTGTTCTTCTGCCTCCCTCATGCGCTGCCTCCTTCATGCGCTTGTCACGTTCCTCTCTCTGCTTCTGCACAGTGGCTCCCACTTTCCCACTGGGGCTGATTTCCATTGACAAAACAAAACAAAAAAACCCACTGACATTGGCACATGCTCTAATCCCAGCTACTTAGAAGGTTGAGGCAGGAGGATGATAAATTCATGACCAGCCTGGGCAACTTAGGGAGACCCTGCCTCAAAAATTAAGTGGGGACAGCTGGGCGAAGTGGTGCACGCCTGTAATCTCAGCACTCAGGAGGCTGAGGCAGGAAGATTGCTCTGAGTTCGAGGCCAGCCTGAACTATACAGCAAGACCCTGCCTAAAAAAAAAAAAAAAAAAAATTAAGGGGAAGAAACACTGGTGATATAACTCAGTGCTCTCTGGGTTCAATCTCCAGTATATCCCCCCAAAGAACACACACACACACACATACACAGAGCACATACTCTGGCCATAAGGAGAGCAGAGCAGAGCTAGGGCAGGAAGATAGAAGGTGAGTGGCAAGCTCGGCAGCCCTGAGATGCCCTTCACCAGCCATGTCTCCTTGCAGGAGCAGGAAGCCACCCACCACCATGAGCAGCACTCTGTCGCCCACAGACTTCGACAGCTTGGAGATCCAGGGCCAGTACAGTGACATCAACAACCGCTGGGACCTGCCTGACTCAGACTGGGACAATGACAGCAGCTCGGCCCGCCTCTTTGAGAGGTCCCGAATTAAGGCCCTGGCAGGTGAGACCAGGGGTGTCGCTGGGAGGCTGGGGTAGGCGGTTGGTAAGCTTGTCACAGTCATTTCCTTTTATGAGAAGACAACTTTCTAAGCTGCTGCACTAAAGTGGGTGGCCCAGAGCACCCTGAAAACCCTGGGCTCTCCAATCCAGCCTTAAGAACAAACCTCACGCAGTCTGCAACATTCCCCGGTTTCCCTTCTCCCCAAGCTGTGCTGACCCCTGGACTCAAACAGCTTCCCTTCATGGCCTAGGCCCTGAGTCATGTCCCTTTATCCTTTTGCACTCTCGATGTCACTGCTGTCTCCACCTACCTCCTCTTTCACCTTCATCCCCTCCTCGTCTGCCTTTGATTTGCACGTCATCTCCCACACCTGTTCTCCCTCCCCGCCCGTTCTCCTCTCTGCACCCTCCCAACCTGTGCCTTCCACCTGTCGCCTGTTCCTCCCTGTACTTCATCTACCTGTTCCTGTTCCTTGAAGCAGGTTCTCTCCGCCAGAGGCTGGTGGCCGCCACCCATTCACTGAGTTTGCTCTCCACCCACCTCTGCCCCTGCCCTGCCCTGCGGCCAGGGGCTGTCCTGTTTGGCTGCTGTGCTCTAAGCACAAACAAACCCGTCCAACGGCCTTCCTGCTTGCAGGGGGAGGTGTTGTCATGGCAACACGAGAGTGGCTGCCACCTGACACCACTAGCGGCTGGCGTGGGGCTGAGTCACCTGCATACCCCAAGGCCACCCACCCAGTCTGTCTTCCCTCCTCCATCCCGCCCTCATCATTGCCACTGACCTGCCAGCAGCCCAGCCCAGTCATGTCCGTCCCACTGGAAAGGTAGTGGCCCCTGGGCCACATGTTTTACCCAGCAACAGTTTTTATAAATACAGGTTCCCAAGCCCCTTCCCGGGCACAGTGAATTAGAATCTTTGGGCATACTGTCCAGAACTTACTAGTTTTTAAAAGCTTCCCAGGTAATTCCCAGCCAGCCCAACACCAGTCTGATGCCCCCTATTGTGCCAGTAGCTCCGCAGTCATTTTTTCCTGGGCTTCCCAGTCCTTCTGGTTGGGTCTTCAGGATGGCTGTGACATACTCCTGTCAGTGCTTCTACAGCTAAGAGAAGAGATGTGGAGTATGGAGCATGTCACCTTTTTGAGAGAGTTTCCCTGGCCTCTCCAGGTTTTAGATTTTGTATCCTCTAGAACACAGCGCACACCATCCAGCATTCTCTCCATGTCTCTCGTGACATACACCATCCAGCCCTGTCACTGTGTCTGTGCACAGGACACATGCCACCCAATATTGTCACAACATCTTTGTGCACAAGACCGGTACCCTCTGGGCCCAGATCAAAGCTTGTGTCCAGGACTGTTGTGTGTCTGTGCACACATGTGTGCCATATGGGGTTCTTGTTGGGTGTTTCTCTCTACCACTAAGCTGGGCTCCCTTGAAGAAGCATCTGCGTATGGGCTTTGCCAAGCAAATAAATACTAAATGGATAAAGATAGGGGAGGGGGACGCAAACGTAACAAAAGCCGAAGCCCAGGAGAGGTGGGAAGAGAATCTGTAGAGTGTGCCCAGCAGTGGGATGGACCTGAGGGCAGGGGCGCTGGCAGAGAAGGGGCTGGCCCCAGAAGTGATGCTCACAAGTGGAGAGGAAGTAACGATACCTATTCCCCCGATGAAACGACAAAAGTAAATGCCTTGCACAGCACTTGGCTTCTCTTCCTCCAGAATCACCTCGTTTCCAAGTTTCTCTTTCTTTGCCCTCTGAGCCCAGATCAAAGCTTGTGTCCTGGAGAGGGACTGCCCAGAGTCACCCAGAGAGGGGCCTCCTTGCGAGCATGCAGACCTTCAGGAAGGAGAAGTTGGCTTTGGAGGCCCCTTTTGCCGGGCTTCAGTAGTCTTAGGCAACTTGGGACCTGATGGGCAGGTCTCCCGGGGCTGGCAGTTCCCTCCTCCGCCCCCACAGGGCCTGGCCCAGCCCCAGCCCGGCTCCGCCTCCTGAGCCTGCTGCCCCTCCCCCGCCACTGTCCGACCTGTTTGTCTGGAGCTGCCTCGTCTCCTCTCGCCAGGGCTAGGTGTGCTCCTGCTCACTTGTTTCAGGAGCTCAGACACCCTGTAACTTTTTTTGCCACTCCTTGAAACCCAGCATCCTTGATTCCCCACACGGGGCGAGACTGCAGCCTCTTGGGACTTCTAGCACAGGCTCTGGGGTGGGACAGACACTTGCTGCCCTTTCTGGCTCAGGGGAGCATGGACTGTGGGCCTTGGGCTGTATAGGAGGCAGCAGGCACCATGAGTGGGAACGGAGTGGGCAGGGTGCATGGGAACGGCCTGAATGGGGCCAGTGAGTTTTACTATGAGGCGGTGGAAGGATCTCAGAACCCTGGGGGCCTTCTGCTCTCACCAGCTGCCTTCATCAACCCTGCTCAGTATGCCAGCGTGCTGGAAGGACGCTTCAAACAGCTTCAAGGTGAGTCCCCAGCAGAGGGGAGCCCGAAGGGCCTCGAGAGGGTCCTGGCCAGGAGGAGCCGCAGGGGCCCAGAAGCCAGAGCTGAACACTTTCTGTGACTCAGATGTTCGTGATGGTTGTGTTGTGGGCCAATGTAATGGGACTTACAGGGAATTGTTATAAGTGGCTAGAAAATTTAGGGGTATGGATGGAATCGGGAAAGGTTTGGATTTACAGGAAGGGACGGCATGGGACAGTGTGAGAGGGTGTGACCTTGAGGTAACCCGCTGGGTACAAAGGTGATGAGGATGGAGGGGTCTTGTGGGCCAACGTCAGCACCTAGCAGCCTCACCCGTGGCTCACTGTGGGGTTTAGTGCCCATCTAGTGAGGGAAGACCAAGTCAGGAGCTGGGGGACCCTGAGTAAGTCTGTGTTTCCTTGGCCTTCTAACTGGGTGTCTGCAGGTGTGTGAGGGGGCGTGTGTGGAAAATAGAGACAATATGCAAAGGAGAGGTTTGTGCGCACAGGGCAGATAGATGTCTGAACAGGCGTGTTCATCCTGGCACAAATATTTAAATGTATTTCTGGCAGTCACTGTGTTTCCTGGTGTGTGTGTGTGTGTGTGTGTGTGCGTGCGTGCGCGCGCAGGCGCGCACATGCACTGTGGGCGTCTTATGACGTTACACACTGATGCTTGGCTTTACCCATTTTTCCAGCTGCCCCTATTTCCACACCTTTCCCTTTTATTGCATCTGTGAGCCAACATGGCCTCATTCCAGTGTGCCTGGTATCAGGGCAATCCCCCCTGATGATGCAGGCCATCCCCAGCTCAGGCAGGGTCTGTGGATGCCAAAAGGAGGCCATGGCTGGCTTTGTTCCATAGGTGTTCAGAACATCCTACCCAGGTTCCCGGTACCGGAGAAAAACCAAAAAAAAAAAAAAAAAAAAAAAAAAGAACATCCTACCCAGGACCCCAGTGTGGTGCAGGTACCAGGGTGAGGCAGACAGGAATGGACATGGGTGTGTTGCTCTTTTATGGGTGAGGTGCCCAGGAATGTGAGATTAAGGAAGTTTCTGAGATGCTGATACTGAAATGGAAAAAAAAAGTGACTCTTCATGCTGAGCTACTTAGGCTGGGTACCCAGGCTGGGCTTTCTGAGGGGAGCTGGCAGGAATCCTGGCCACCAAAGCAACTTTCAGTTGCCTGAGCCTTTTCCTTTGCTTTGCCATTCACACAAGTTTTTATTTTTATTTTTCAGTGGATCCAAACAGCACGCCCTCCTCCAGAGCTACCCCTGTGAAACAGGCAGCAGGACTTTTCCTATCTTTTCTTAAAATTGGCACCTGACTCTGCCTGCCTCCTCCCTTGTTACTTGGTTCTCCCAACTTGCAAAATCTCGTTTCTCTCTTTAGTCTGGGGATGTTGGTGTCCTGGGACTGGATTCCCTGCAGCTAACTGAGTGACCCTTCCCAGAGGTAGGGTAGCCCATTCTTTCTGTGCACAATCTGAGGACAGTGAGCTGACTCAGAGAGAGGACTGCGGCCTCTCCACTGTTAAGTTTTCTTGATGACCGCGTAGAAGAGCCACTACCATAATTTCAGGCCACACCCAACCCTTTGTCCACGGTTGAAAGAGAATAAGAAGAGGCCTTTACCACAGCAACTCAGTAGGGAGCCATGTTATACCAGGGGCTGACTAGGTGTCTCATACCCAGGATCTCATTTAACTTTCACGATGACCTGTTGAAGTAGAAAATAATACAAACATTTTATAGAAGAGGAAATTGAGGCTGTGATGGATGGAATAAACCTACTCAGGGTTTCATACTTGTTACAAAATGGAGTTCAACCCTAGCCCCTCCTTGGACAGTTTTCCTCATTCTTCCTTCTGAAAGTCTGTTTTCTATCTCTCCTTTTTTGTTCTTTTCTTTGCTTATCAGCTCATTCCAATTTCTTCATTCTCCAGCCATCTAAGTTCTTGGTTTCCCTCTCAGCCATCTTCCTACCCCTCCTCTTCCCCAGATCTTACTTCTGCTCTCTCTCTCTCTCTCTCTCTCTTTCTCTCTCTCTCTCTCTCTCTCTCTCTCTCACACACACACACACACACACACACACACACACAACTGATGTTGAGAAGTAGGCATTCTGCATTTGAAGGGTGGAAATGACCCCATGTCGCTACCACAGATGAACGAGAAGCAGTACAGAAGAAAACCTTCACCAAGTGGGTGAACTCCCATCTGGCCCGGGTGACGTGCCGAGTGGGAGACCTATATAGTGACCTCCGGGATGGGCGCAACCTGCTGCGGCTCTTGGAGGTGCTCTCAGGAGAGATGCTGGTAGGCTTCAGTCAAGGGGGCACAAGGGAAGCCTTGGAAACTGGCCAAGGGGAGATGCTGTAGGAAGGGCCCCAGGGAAAAGACAGGGCAGAGTAGAATTTGGTGGCCTTCTCTATCCAGAGGATGGTCTCCTTCTGAGAGGCTTTGCTGCATGGATTACATAGGGGCCTTGCTTTGCAGAGACAGGAACAGTGGCCCCATTGAAAACGTTTCTTTCCCACCTACTCTGGGTGCAATTAATTCCCTTGGGAATCTTAATCTGCCCAAGCTGCATCTGTAACCTCAGCTTCAGCTCTGTGACCTTTGGCCTGGCCCTGGGGTTGTCCCTGTGTTCCTGAGGGAGGTCATGGGAAGGTGTACACAGTAGGGCACTGGGAAGGCCGGGAGAGAAAGGGGCAGACTCATGGTCTCTTGTCACCGTATCCCCTGTTCTTCAATAGCCAAAACCCACAAAGGGCCGCATGCGGATCCACTGCCTGGAGAATGTGGACAAGGCGCTGCAGTTTCTAAAGGAGCAAAAAGTACACTTGGAAAACATGGGCTCCCATGACATTGTGGACGGGAACCACCGTCTGACCCTTGGGTTGGTCTGGACCATCATCCTTCGATTCCAGGTATCCTCACACAGTGTCACTCAGGGTATGGGCCATTCACCCCATGACAGTAATCTGAAGAGCCCTTTCTTATCATTCCTCTGAGTGTCTCTGATAACATCAAGAGTCTCTGACCAGGGAGTAAGGGCCTTGCTTACTTCCTTCTTAGATCCAAGACATCAGTGTGGAAACGGAAGACAATAAGGAAAAGAAGTCAGCCAAGGACGCCCTGCTGCTCTGGTGCCAGATGAAGACTGCAGGGTGAGGAGGCCCAGGGCAGAAGGGGTCACTTCCAGGCTGTGCAGTACAGGAAGGTTGGGCTCCAGGATCACAACGTGGGGCCTGTCCTTGCATCCCAGACCAGAGCTTGTTACCACTTACCATTTTTCTGGGTCTCTGTTTACAGATATCCCAATGTCAATGTGCACAACTTCACCACTAGTTGGAGAGATGGATTGGCCTTCAATGCCATCGTGCACAAACACCGGTGAGAAGGCATGGGTAGTGAGCACACAGGCTAATGACCAGGACACACACACACACACACATACACACGCACGTGCACACACACACACACACACACACACACACACACACAGACACAGGCCAAGAGATGAGATATACTATATCACAGCTATCGGGAATGAGTGCACACAGAGGAACTGGAATGGATGGGGGGTGTCATACAGGAAATTTGTAATGGGAAGCAGGGGGTGGTACAGGGTGGGCTTGGGGTGTTCCCTTCCAAACAAAATTGAGTCAAAGACTCAAGGGCAAAGGTGGTAGTGGACTAACTTTTCCTCTTTAGGATCTCATGTGCTTCTGTCTCCCACCCCTTTACCCCAGGCCAGACTTGTTGGATTTTGAGTCCTTGAAGAAGTGTAATGCACATTACAATCTGCAAAATGCTTTCAATCTGGCTGAAAAGGAGCTGGGACTAACCAAGCTGCTGGATCCGGAAGGTGGGACAGAGCTCTATAAAGTAGGCTGTAGGGCAGAGGCAGAACCAAACTGGGGTGGCCAGGGGCTGGGGGAAGGGATGACTGGGGTAGCTGCCGATGGGTAGTGGGTTTCCGGGAGGAGGGGATGAAAATACTGGAATAAGATGGTGATGATGGTTGCACAACCTTGTGCATATACTAAAAAACACTGACTATGTATCCCAGAAGGGTGGGTTTCATGGTATGAAAATTATAACCCAATTTTTAAAGATCTGTAGGAAGAACAGGAGCCCTATAGTAGAAAGACCGCTGGATGCTGGGTTCTATCCTGGCCCAGCACAGAGAAGTTCTGTGACTCCGAGCTAGTCATTTAGCCTCTCTGTGGCTCAGTTTCCTCATCTCTAAAGTGAGAGGACTGGTCCTCCTGGTTTCCTAAGACCCTCCTTACTCTAAAATTCTGGAGTTCTAAGTTAAACTACCCCCAGGCAGGGTGGCATCTGTCTATAATTCCAGAGTCTTGGAAGGCTGAGGCAGGAGACTCATAAGTTGGAGTCTGGCCTAGCCTACACACTGAGGCCCTGTTTCAAAATAAAATTTTAAAAAGCACTAGGGATATAGCTCAGTGGTAGAGTGCTTGCCTATCACACTCTCAATCTCTAATACCACCAAAAATAAATAAATCACTTGAGATCTCACCCAAGAACTGGCCCATGGTCAGCTGCCTTTGCAGACTGGCTCCTGTACTTCTATCGTATTGCCCATGAGATCAGTAAGGACAACTCAGCTCTTACCTTGTATCTGGCACTGCACACTTTAATTAATTGAATCCTCACAACACCTTTTTGAAATCATTGCCATTGTTAGCCTCAGTTTATGGCCAAAAAAATGGGGCATATAAAAGTTAGGGTAAGTGACTTACTCAAGGTCATGCAGCTGGTGGAGCTGAAGTTTGAGTCTGGGCAGCCTGAGTCCAGAGCAGGTTTCCTCAGCTGCTTTTGGCAGAGCAGCGAGCACTCTGGGTACAGCCAAAAAAGGGGAAGAGAGAGGGGCCAACAGGTAGCCTACTGGAAGAGCTCCTTCTGGAGCTTGCTGGCAGGTTTGGTCTTGGGCACTGTCTCCCTGTTTTCTGTCCCTCATGTAGCCCCATTTCCTGTGCCCTGTCAGTCCAGAATGACAGGCAGTAGCTACCTAGAGACGGAAGCAGGTTGAATGTACAGCTCTTTGGAGAGCATTTGAGAAGCAAAGTGTGGAACATTGAAGTAAACTGGTGTCCTGAGATGTCTAAGATAACTTTTGCAGCTCCTGCTGCCTGGGTGTCTTTGGAAGTGGTCCAGGGGCTTCCAGGCTCATAGTCTTACCTGTGGGTAGCATAAAACTACCAGCATAGTAGTTTTAACTTACTAGCATAAGTTAAGAGAGTGAGGGATCTCAAGTCATCCTCCTCCTAGATCATGTAGTGGATGCTGTTTTGGCTCAAGGGATGTTTACCGCCTAGGCCCATGGCTAAGCGTTGGGATTAAGGTTGGGAACATCCATGACCTTGTCCTAAGATGGTGCCAAGAGTTGGCCTCTGTCCCTACCGTGCTTCATCATGGGTTCAGAAGGCTTAGTTTGTACATTCTGTCCCATGATCCCTGAATCTGTTGACCACTTAGAATCTTCCCAGCCTGTAAGTCCATGATCCATCCCCAAATGGGCATGTTGTTTCTTTTTTTGCTGTCTGCCTCCAAACAACTAATTTTAGTGTTCAGAAGACACACTGGGTAAAAGCCTTTCAGGCTTTGGGTTTTGTGCTCTACTTGGAGGGCCAGTGTCTAGGAGAAAGGAGGAAAAAAATGGTGAGCTTTTTTTTTTCATGTCTTTTTAGTTTAAATGGTTGTCACTTTACTCTGAAAGAAGCTGAAAAGATGTCTGCCTTGAAGAACTGGGGGTACCCCAGGGATGGGGTGATTCAGACTTTGGGCCTACTTCCGGGAAGTAGGTTTCTGATGTCTGCCTGACCCAAATGGTCCTTTTTCTCAGATGTGAATGTGGACCAACCAGATGAGAAATCGATCATTACCTATGTGGCTACCTACTACCACTACTTCTCCAAGATGAAGGCCCTGGCTGTGGAAGGCAAAAGAATTGGCAAGGTATCTCCTACCATGAAATAGTACACAGAATGGCTAGAGGCCTGGTCCAGGGGTCTTTCTCCCCTAAAACAAGGGCATAGTAGAGCTGTAGGACTGGGCTAGAGAACCCCATGGGCAAGACCCCCATGTCCCTATCTCCTGTCACGCAGGTGCTGGACCATGCCATGGAGGCAGAGCGCCTGGTGGAGAAGTATGAGTCTTTGGCCTCTGAACTGCTGCAGTGGATCGAGCAAACGATTGTCACCCTCAATGACCGGCAGCTGGCCAACTCCCTAAGTGGGGTCCAGAACCAGCTGCAGTCCTTCAATTCATACCGCACTGTGGAAAAGCCGCCCAAGTAGGTCCCCTAGACTCCACTCTACTGGGGCATGCCTGCCTGCAATCCACCATCAGGGCAGCCTTTAGGGAGGGACATTTGGCAATACATAAAGGCATCAGAGGTTCATTTCCCCAGCTCAAATGCTAGAAGCATCTAAACAGCATAGTTGTTCCAAAATAGATTTAAAAAAAAAAAAAATTAGCCATTTCTAAAAATCATGCCTTCCTGCCAGATGTGATGGTGCATGCCTATAATCTTAGCACCCAAGAGGCTGAGGCAGAAGGATTGCCTTAGGTTCAAGTGAATTCCAGGCCAGCCTGAACAACATAGTGAGACCCAGTCTCAAGAAAAACAATAACAACAATGACAAAATCATGCCCGGAAATGATTGCAGTATTGAGTCAGTTTGATCCACCAGATAAGATTACTGGTTAGGCTGAGCATGTTAGTGCATGCCTGTAATCCCAGCTACTAGGAGGCTGAGGCAGGGGGATCATAAATTAAGGCCAACCTGGACAACTGAGTGAGACCCAGTCTCAAAACTCAAAATATAGCCAGGTGTGGTGGTGCACACCTATAATCCTAGAACTCGGGAGGCTGAGGCAGGAGGATCATTGCGAGTTTGAGACTAGCCTGGACTACAAAGTGAGCTCAAGGCCAGTCTGAATTTCATAATGAGACCCTGTCTCAAAAGACCAAAAAAAAACCCATATATAGGCAGATCACAGCCAGCAACACAAGTATGACTGATAACATGACCGTGCAGAGGTTCTTGTCACTTATGTACATTAGCAATTCACTGTTTCCATATGTAGAATTACTGCCAGGTAGTTCTGTATGATACATGCTAAAATGTATGTGCCTTTTAAAAATCATCAAGGTTTTTCAGAGTTAATGTGTCAGCTCCCAAACTAATATTATTCAGAAAACAGCTGTTCCCATAAAGCCCAGGGAATGATTTGAGGTGTTCCCTTTGCCTAGAAAGCCCTTTTCTGGGCATTAAAGTTATACCTTTGAGGATGTTCACCAACGTGATCTTTGTAAAAGAAGAATAAGTCACAAGGCAACCACTGAAAATAGTACCAGAGAAATACATTTATTGACATGAAAAGATTCATAAAGTATAATTGGAGAGGCAGGCTGCCCCACTTCTTTGTGAGCTGCCACAAACAAAGTGCCTGAATCCAAATTCTGGTTCTGCTGTCCAGCAGTTGTGACAGTTGAGCAACTTATTTAGCCTTTCTAGGTCTCGATTTTTTCATCTGGAGAACAGGGATAATGAGAGAATGTAGACAGTGGAGAGCAGCAAATGAGTTAATGCATACAAAATGCTGGGAGTTGGCCCAGCTCACAGTGAGCGAGTCCTTGACCATGTTAGCTGTGATTGCACTAGGATTCATTTGTGTGAAATAAAAACTAATGCTTTTGTGCAAAGGGGTAACAGTACTTCCTGTTGCTGTGTGACTTTCGGTTGCTTTAAAATAATGTCTTTTGGGTTGTCAGCATTTTTTTTCTTTAACACAAAGAACCTGTACTGTTTTTGTGAGAAGGAAAACAACACAGGACACTCCATGTGGTAGAGGTGAGTCTCCCTCAGGGCCTTGGCCTCTTACTCTGACTGGGCCTCTGCCTCAGGTTCACTGAGAAAGGGAACTTGGAGGTGCTGCTCTTCACCATCCAGAGCAAGCTGAGGGCCAACAACCAGAAGGTCTACACACCGCGTGAGGGCCGGCTCATCTCTGACATCAACAAGGTGTGTGTCCTCCCCTGTGTCACACAAATGGCCACCTGCCATACCCAGGGCTTCTTGACCTACACCAAGCCCTACTTCCTTAATTAAATATGTCATCTCACTGTCCCCACCCTCAAATGTGACTCTGATATCTTCTCATGCATATTACTCCTATTCCCCTTTCCTTACGTTCCATACAGGGTCACATCAGGAACTTGTACCCCAGGTCATTATCTTGTTCAACATGTCACTAACTCACTGTCTCTACGTCTATTTTGTGTTTTTCACAAACAGCGTTACAAGATTAATAAAAGTAAAATTAAGTTCACCCACAGTCCTGCCACTGCAAACAAATCAGTTTCCACTGATTTCCCTCCACCCTTGTCCAGAAGCAGCCATAACTGTCCCATGGCCTCACAGCATTTCCGGCACCTTCCTGTCTCCCATCTGCACACAGGCAGGTGCCTCACTCATGGTGTTCCACAGCCACACTAGACCAATCTTCTATGGACTCCCCTGAGCCCCAGCCCCACTGACCTGCCTGCCCTGGCCTCTCACACTAACCCTGTGTCTACCATGCAGGCCTGGGAGCGGCTGGAGAAAGCCGAGCACGAGCGTGAGCTGGCCCTGCGCACAGAGCTGATCCGCCAAGAGAAGCTAGAGCAGCTGGCTGCCCGTTTCGACCGCAAGGCCGCCATGCGGGAGACCTGGCTCAGTGAGAACCAGCGCCTGGTGTCCCAGGTAGGACCTGGCAGGAGATGGGGGGCATCTGGGGACATCCAGGCTGGTGAGAAGTAGGAGAGAGGCCGTGGTGGGTGAGTAAGGAGCCCCGCAGTACAGGGAAATGATGAAACAGGAAACCTACCACGCAAGTAGAAAGACCAGGAAACCCAGGAGCCAGCAGGTGGAGGCTTGAGCAGGAGAAAGGATAGCAGAATGGGATGGGACGGGACGGAATGAGAGCTGCCTTGTGGAGTTGGTGTCTTGCAGCTGGAGCACTTTGGGGAACAGATAAGGAGGGCAGAGTCATTCTTCTTTGGTTCCCAAACTTCTCTCTGCCCTCTACCCCAGGACAACTTTGGGCTAGAGCTGGCAGCAGTTGAGGCAGCAGTGCGGAAGCACGAAGCCATTGAAACAGACATCGTGGCCTACAGTGGCCGGGTGCAGGCAGTGGATGCTGTGGCTGCGGAGCTGGCTGCTGAGCACTACCATGATATCAAGCGCATCTCAGCACGGCAGCACAATGTGGCACGGCTCTGGGACTTCCTGCGGGAGATGGTGGCTGCCCGGCGAGAGCGGCTCCTCCTCAACCTGGAACTGCAGAAGGTGTTCCAGGACCTGCTCTACCTCATGGACTGGATGGGAGAGATGAAGGTACTGGGGGTGCTCCGCAGAGGGCCTGATGGGGTGTGGCTGTGGTACTGCCTCTGCCCAGTCAGCGTATCTTTGTAGAGCATATGCTAGTGCTGGGGCCCCCTCCCCAGTTCTGAAGAACAAAGCAACCAGGCCCCTGTTCACATGGAGCTCACAGTCTAGTGGGAAGAACTGGTGATGAAACCCAGAGATACACTAGTGGGTGATCAAAAAACCTCTGAGGACTGTGGAACAGGGTGGTTGGGCGAGGCTTCTCTAGGAAAATGCCATTGGAACTGAGACCAAGTCCAAGAACTGACAAGGGGATCACAGGAAAGAAGGTTCTGGGGGGGCTGGGGATTTAGCTCAGCGGCAAAAGCGCCTGTCTGGCATGCGCAAGGCCGTGAGTTCGGTTCCTGGTACAGGAGAAAAAAAATGAGTTCAAGGCCAGCCTGGGCTACATAAGCCTGCACTACATAGTGAGACTCTGTCAAAAAAAAAAAAAAAAAAAAAAAAGAAGGTTCTGGGCAGGAGGGACAGCTAAGCTAAGGTCCTTGGCTATGCAGGTGTGACATGTTGGGATAAGAAGGAAAGCCAGTGGGCTGTGTGAGGAGAGGGGGTCCACGGGGCCAATAGTAGCCAGCTCACTTAGGGTCTTATGGCCTGGTCAAGGGGTTTGGATTTAATTAGAAGCCGGACACAGTGGCACATGCCAGTAATTCCAGCTACTTGGGGGGCTGAAGTAGGAGGATCACAAGTTCAAGGCCAGCCTGGGCAACTTAGTGAGACTCTTGTCTCAAAGAAAAAAAAAATATTTAAAGGTTGGGGGTACAGCTCAGTGGTAGAGCACTTGTCTAGCAGGGGGTTCTATCCCCAGTGCCACCAAAATATATAATGATTAGGAGACTTTGAAATAGGGAAAGATGTGCTCATGCCAAACATTTTTAAAGGGTCCTTGGGCTACAATGTGAAGAAGGCCTATGGGCAGCCAGAGGCGGAACAGAAAAACCAGTTAGTTTATTACAGTCACTAACAAGTGGGCAGGAGGGTAGGTCTCGGAGAGCTACTGAAGGTTGCTGGATGCTAGAAGCAGAGCTGTGATGGTAGGAGGGTGTCACTGATTTTGGAGCCAAGAAGATGAGTCACAGCAAAGACTCTAGAAGCAGGATTCAGCAAGAAAGCTGTTCCATAGGAAGGAAGTTGAGGATAAGGAATGGGATGCCAGGACAGAACTGGAGAGTCCCCGCATGTGTGGGTGAGCAGGTATGCAACACCTGGAGCCACCCAGAGACTGGAAGGAGACACAGCAAGGTTGGCTTGTATAGCTGGCTAAGAGGAAACGAGGCAGCTCTCGGATGACTGGCATGCTGCATGTGCCTGGCAGGGCCGGCTGCAGTCCCAGGACCTGGGCAAGCACCTGGCTGGCGTGGAGGACCTGCTGCAGTTGCATGAGCTGGTGGAGGCAGACATCGCCGTGCAGGCCGAGCGGGTACGGGCTGTCAGTGCCTCTGCCCTGCGCTTCTGCGACCCAGGGAAAGGTGAGAGCCTAGGGAGGCCCTGGACATGGACAGGTGAGGGAGGGGAACTTTAAGATCTGGGGCAGAAGTCTGGAAAAACCTGGGAACAGGAGAGCTGATGGGTGGATGATAAGTGACAGAACTAGAGCTAGAAGGGAGGCCCACCAGGATTGGATGGGGAGATTTGTAGCCATGGCAGGGGAACTCCAGAGTGCCACTCCAGAGTGGGCACTCTGCCCTGCACCTCCATGGCATGGAGTTTTTAACCTCTGAATTTTGCAGAGTACAGACCATGCGACCCACAGCTGGTATCGGAACGGGTGGCCAACCTGGAGCGGAGCTATGAGGCCCTGTGTGAGTTAGCAGCTGCTCGGCGGGCTCGCCTGGAAGAGTCTCGGCGCCTCTGGCGGTTCCTCTGGGAGGTGGGCGAGGCTGAGGCCTGGGTACGGGAGCAGCAGCACCTCCTGGCCTCTGCTGAGACAGGCCGGGACCTGACTGGTGTCCTCCGCCTGCTCAACAAGCATACAGCCCTGCGGGGTGAGATGAGCGGCCGGCTTGGGCCCCTGAAGCTCACCCTCGAGCAGGGTCAGCAGCTGGTTGCTGAGGGCCACCCCGGAGCTAGCCAGGCCTCTGCACGTGCAGCAGAGCTCCAGGCCCAGTGGGAGCGGCTGGAGGCCCTGGCAGAAGAGCGTGCCCAGCAGCTCACACAGGCTGCCAGCCTCTACCAGTTCCAGGCAGATGCAAACGACATGGAGGCCTGGTTGGTGGATGCACTGCGCCTGGTGTCTAGCCCTGAGCTGGGGCACGACGAGTTCTCCACACAGGCCTTGGCCCGGCAGCACCGGGCCCTGGAGGAGGAGATCCGAGGCCACAGACCCATACTGGATGCCTTGAGGGAGCAGGCCGCAGCCCTGCCTTCTGCACTGAGCCACACACCAGAGGTGCAGGGCAGAGTGCCCACTCTGGAGCGGCACTACGAGGAGCTGCAGGCCCGGGCAGGCGAGCGTGCACAGGCCCTGGAGGCGGCGCTGGCGCTCTACACCATGCTCAGTGAGGCCGGGGCCTGCGGGCTCTGGGTGGAGGAGAAGGAGCAGTGGCTGAACGGGCTGGCTCTGCCTGAGCGCCTGGAGGACCTGGAGGTGGTACAGCAGAGGTAGGATTTGCAGCTACCATGGGGTCGGATGGCCTCTAAGCTAGGGACTAGGGTGTGGGATGGCAGGGTGGTACCCCCCCCCCAAACGACCTGCTACTTCTCTCTGTGCCTTAGCTACCTCTCTCTGAGTCTTAATGGTCATCTGTGTTTAGTTTTAGTGAAAATGTTAAACATTTCATAACAAACCCCTAATATACCCATCATCAGAGTCCATCATTGTCGGCATCTTGCTCTTTTTTACTTTACATGACAGTGATCCCCAACATTATCCTTTTGCTCCTACTTCCATCAGGATGCATCCTTTGGAAAATATGAGGAAGCATCCTCATGTACTGTCTATTTATTTTTCAATCGTGTATGGACTTAAAATAGCTGAGGCTTTGAAACTATCAGCCCTTTAGGCAGAGATTGTGATTAACCTCTTGTGAAACTGCTTTGTTCACAAAATAATAAACTTACTTAAAAAGGACATTTTTCTCATAGAACATCAAAACCATTATCACATAGAATAAAATTAGCAATTCCTTGATATCACCTCCTATAAAACCTACCATAATCACATTATCTGGGTTTTGTTTTTGTTTCCAATATCCTATTACAAGGTTTGATAAACAACAACCCTTGGGGCAAATAGACTTTGCTGCCTTTTTTTTTTTTTTTTTTTTTTTGTAAATAAAACTTTACTGGGGCAGAACTACACCTACTCAATTATATATTATCTGTGGCTGTGTTCAGCCACAACACAGAGTTCAGAATTTGTGACAGAGATTGTGGCTCACAGTCTACTTATTCCTTTGTCCTTTGCAGAAAACCTTTGCAGATTCTGCCCTACTAGAATATATAAGGTCCCTGGGACTCTTAAGTTATATTTTACATGTCTATCACTTAGACATATGTTTTTGGTTATCACTTCATTTTAAAAAATGGGCTTGTATTAGTGGATGGGGCCTGGGTAGGCAGCTAAGGGTGCGCCCCAAGAGGAACAGTGAGGTTTAGTAAAGGTGGGGTCCTCTTCATGCCAGGCTTGAGTTTAACTTGTACATCTGTGCCTGACCTCCAACTATCACCATCTTTTGAACAACCCTAAAGAAGATAGTTTTTATGTTGTTTAGGGGGAGTTAGAGATTTCTCCCCTGACCCCTAGGTACTGTGGATCTTGTGGGCTAAGAGGTGCAGAAACACTGGGACAGAAGCCTCAGGCTGAAGGAGAGGCATTCCCGCGGCCCTGAGGCCTCCCCGCCTTCATGCCTACTGTTCCATCCCCTTAGGTTTGAGACCCTGGAACCTGAAATGAATGCCCTGGCTGCAAGAATTACTTCTGTGAATGACATTGCTGAGCAGTTGCTGAAGGCCAACCCCCCGGGGAAGGAGCGCATTATTAACACCCAGAAGCAACTCAACCAAAGGTATGCTTGAGGGCGGCGGCCCAGGGATGGAAAACAGTGAAGCAGCTGGAGTGGCAATTGGGAGAGAGTTTGGTAAGGCCTAGAAAAGTGAGGACTACATGCTGAGGCAGAGAACTGATGAGTGGGATGAAAGAGGGGGCCAAGGAGGTCCAGAGAAGCTGGTGACTAGAGATGGTGTGTGGTCAAGAGGAAGAGGAGGTGAGGGGGATGAGGAAGTAGCTGGGTAAATACCAAGAAAGAGAAGCTGGAAAGGAGCCTCCAGATACACCTGGTGAGGGCAGAAAACCCGAGCAACTCCAAATTCCAGACTGCCCCTCCCCTATTTGCAGGTGGCAGCAGTTTAGGTCCCTGGCTGATGGCAAGAAGGCAGCTCTGACATCAGCCCTGAGCATCCAGAACTACCATCTAGAGTGCACAGAGACCCAGGCCTGGATGAGAGAAAAGACCAAGGTCATTGAGTCCACCCAAGGCCTGGGCAATGATCTGGCTGGGGTGCTAGCCCTGCAGCGGAAGCTGGCTGGTACTGAGCGTGACCTAGAGGCCATTGCTGCCCGGGTGGGTGAACTGACCCGAGAAGCAAATGCCCTGGCTGCTGGACATCCAGCTCAAGCCCCTGCCATCAACGCCCGGCTTGGAGAGGTGCAAGCCGGCTGGGAGGACCTGCGGGCCACCATGCGGCGTCGAGAGGAGTCCCTGGGTGAAGCACGGCGGCTGCAGGACTTCCTGCGAAGCTTGGATGACTTCCAGGCCTGGTTAGGCCGCACACAGACCGCTGTGGCCTCTGAAGAAGGGCCAGCTACGCTGCCTGAAGCAGAAGCCCTCCTGGCCCAGCATGCAGGCCTGCGGGGAGAGGTGGAACGGGCCAAGAGCGAGTACAGCCGTCTGCGGGCCTTGGGCGAGGAGGTGACCCGAGACCAGGCTGACCCCCAGTGCCTCTTCCTGCGGCAGCGCCTAGAAGCTCTGGGCACTGGCTGGGAGGAGCTGGGCCGCATGTGGGAGAGCCGGCAAGGCCGCCTGGCCCAGGCCCATGGCTTCCAGGGATTCCTGCGGGATGCACGCCAGGCTGAGGGTGTGCTCAGCAGCCAGGTGAGAACCAGGGGCAGAGTTCCCACACATCAGGAAAAGGAAAATGGGGACCAGGGGAAGTATGAAGGAACATGGGAGAGGGGGAAGAACACACTAGTGTCCAGAGTAACTGAGGAAGCAAGAAGGGAAGGAAGAACATATTAAAAACATGGAATTGAAGAAAAAATATTTATAGCACCACAACTCATAAAAGCTAAATCTTAGAAGTGACTTACATGTTTATCAACAGATGAATGGATAAAGAAAATGTTTATATATAATAGAGTACTACTATGCCACAAAGAAGAATAAAGTTGAATCATTTGTAGAAAAATGGATAATGAGACCATAATGTTAACTGAAATAAATCAGACACACAAACTTAAATATCATATAACTTCTATTGTATGAGAAGCCCAACAATTTTTTAAAAACAAGAGATAGTAGGAGTAAAACGATAACCATTGATAATTTCCTACCATTTTGTCTGTAATTTGCTAAGTCCCCCCTATTATTATGTTATCCTTCTTTTATTCTTTAAAATAAAAAATTAAAAAAAAAAAAAAAAGAGATAGTAGGAAACAGGAGACAGATCTTGTACAAATGGGAAAGGGATCCAGACATGGAGGGAGGAGAAGGGGAATAAAAAGAATTGAGATATGTTAAGTATATGTACCTACCCCCTAACATGAATGTAAACATTATATACTGCAAACGTACTAATAATTTTTTTAATGTTAACATATGTACCAAAATTGACTTTAGAAGAAACAGAAAACCTGGTTAGTGATGTACCTATGAAATCAAACCAGTAGCTACAAATCAGTTGAAACAGGATCTGGACTGGTAAAAGTCCTCCAGCCAACTTTCCTTGGAACTTTGGACCCCGACATGAGAGACCCTCATGTGGAGGTCTTCATAGTTGGGTGAACTGTCCCCTCTCTATCTCAGCTGTGGCTCTTGGTGGGTCCTCTCTGAGGAGTGAACTTGTTACCATCCTCTCACACAGGAGTACGTCCTGTCTCACACGGAGATGCCAGGGACACTCCAGGCTGCGGACGCTGCCATTAAAAAGCTGGAAGACTTTATGAGCACCATGGATGCCAATGGAGAGCGCATCCGTGGGCTCCTGGAGGCTGGGCGTCAGCTGGTGTCAGAGGGCAACATCCATGCTGAGAAGATCCAGGAGAAGGCAGACTCCATTGAGAGGAGGTGAGGAGGATGTTAGAGAGGCTGGAGGGGGATATAAATGAAAACAGGGTAGATTTGAGGATGGATACAGGTGAATTAACAAGTGGTGGGAGTGGGCTTGATAACCAAAGTGGAGAGGGAAAAATAAGATGGTCGAGAGGAGCTGGCCCAGGGTCTTGGAGGGTCTGTCACCTCGCTGGTGCAAAATGGAGTCTACTGGGGCAGCAGGCCTGGAAATCTGATACCTATGGAGTCATGTGGGGCTCCTTGGAGGCATTATCTCCAAGGAGGAAGACTGAGGCCACTCCATGAGTTAAAGGGCTGTCACCCTTTCACAGCAAGGTCAAGGTTTGACAAGGTTTCACATTACAGACACAGGAAGAATCAAGAGGCAGTGCAGCAGCTTCTGGGCCGCCTTCGGGACAACCGAGAGCAACAGCACTTCCTGCAAGACTCTCACGAGGTGAGATTCGGTTCCTCGGTGTCCCTGCGGCATCCTCTAGCCTTCTTCCCTTTCCCATATGCCCTTACTCGGAACCTATATTAAGTACATCATGGTATCCCCTGAGCCTGTGAGCCACTTCATGGCTTCTTCTCAAATCTTCCATGTCTAGTGGCCCCCTCAGCCCCTCTCGTGTTCCACTCTCTTCTCCCTCTCAAATGTCCTCTGCCTTCTCCATCCCTGCTTCTGTTTGCTCCAGCTAAAACTCTGGATTGATGAGAAGATGCTGACAGCCCAGGATGTATCCTATGATGAGGCGCGAAATCTACACACCAAATGGCAGAAGCACCAGGCATTCATGGCTGAGCTGGCGGCCAACAAGGACTGGCTGGACAAGGTGGACAAGGTGAGCAGTGTGACAGGAGCAGGGAGAATGAGTTTTTGGAGGTGCCTGTGGGTAGGGTCCTCAATCAGATGGCAAGCAGGCCTAGATCCAGGACACTGCCATGGTATAAAGTTGTGGTCTAGGGAATAAATGTCTTGGGGCTGTGGAACAGTGACTCTGGAACTTCGAGAAAGTACAACTCAATAGGGAGCCAAACTTCAGCTTTAGTTCAACACCCTAACTGTTCCTGAATTCACTACAGGATACCTCTCTGCAGCAGGGGTCCACAAACGTGCTTTAAAGAACCAGGTAATAGGGGCTGGGGATTTAGCTCAGTGGCACAGCACCTGCCTGGCAAGCATGACCTCATGAGTTCGATTCCCAGTACCGAAAAAAAAAAAGAACCAGGTAATAAACATTTTAGGCTTTGCAAGCTATATGATTCCTGCTGCAACTTTGTGTCTCTGCCACTGTAGTGCAAAAGCAGCTATAGAGAACATTTACACAAATGTTCCATTAAAAGTTTATTTATAAAAACAGGAAAAAGGGCCAGAATTAACCCATCTACTATAGTTTTCCAGCCCTTGTTTTTGAGTCTTGCTCTTCTTGGGACTTGGTCTCCCATCCACTCTTCCTCCATTGCTGAGGACAGGTGAAACTTTACTCAGCAAGCATTCTTGGGGACCATTCTGTGTGCTCAGCACACTGTTAGATGCTGTCTGGTATGTAAAGATACTTTCTCTCTGTTAAGGGTATGATGGCTGGGGAGAGGGGGAGACCGGTGCTTTTTCAGTGTTTCCATTTGCTCAGCAAGTATTTGGTTGGTGCTGCTATATGCAAACCGTTATTTTCAGCACCCAGAGTAGAATGAAAGTAATGCTACTGCAGCCTGCACCCTTCAGGAACAATGCTGTAGCCCAGGATGTGAGACATGTACATGAACGGCTAAATTAAATCAGAGCAGAACATGATGCACTCAGAAAAGTCCAATAAAGCCCAGGAGAAGAGACTGGGAATTCTGGAAGCAGGAGCATCCAGTGCAGCCCTGAGGGATGAGTAGAATGTGGACAAGAAGAGATGTTTCTAGGTGGAGGGAAGAGTATGAACAGAAAAGCACCCCTCATGCCTCTGAGGGTTAAGAGGGAAGACAACCTGGCAGGAGCAGAGTGTGCAGAGGGGCCCCATGGAAGAAAAGGTGGGTAGGCGTGTAGGGCCAGCTGAGGAATGGCCCTGATCGCCCCAGAGGGAGCATACTTTGAGGTGTGGCTCGTGCAGAATGCTGTGAAGTTACCTAGCAGTGACAGCCTTGGACACTGTCCATCCTGACAGCCAGGGAAAGGAGCTTAAAGGCAATATCTAGATTTCTGGTCCCAGAAGCAGAACCTGGAAACAGTTAGAGGTAGATCACATGTTTAGCACACACACACATGTACACACATACACAAGGCCCTGAGTTCCATCCCTAGCACCACACACGCACACACACAGGTGGGTGGAAGAGTACATCATCATGTCAGCTACTTTGGTAGCAACCGGAGCACTCTGGGAGATGGCGTGGAACAGACACAGGAAGAATCAAGAGGCAATGCAGCTGCTCTGCATCAGCATTATCCCACCCAAAGCACAGAGTCACCAGGTGTTCACCCATCACTTTCCAGTCTGCTCTTGGCTGAGAGCCGCCTTAGGGGCATCAATTCTGTGTGAGTGCCTTCCACACATTCTTTCCACATATACCTCCCCCAAAACAAGAATCCTCCGGCCACAGGGCTGGAAGTGGGGAGACCAAGTGGGACTCACTTGCCTTAGTTCAAGTGAGGAGTAATGATTTGAAAAACATAAAATGATAGCAAATAATGTAAGTCCACTTGTAGCAGAACACTAGAACCTCACATGAGCAAAGATTGCAGTGATTTTTTTAAAAACAGTCCTGGGGATTGAACCCAGGGCCTTCACACTGGTGGGGATTGAACCCAGGGCCTTCACACTCCCAGCCCTTTTTATTTTTTATTTTGAGACAGTTGCACTAAGTCACGAAGTTGTCCAGGCTGGGCTTAAATTTGTGATTCTCCTGCCTCAGCCTCCCAGAGTGCTGGGATTATAGGCATACACAACCACTACCAGCACAAAGGCTTTTTAATTGAAGTGAGATTTGAGCCTTACCTTGAGGGAAGAATCAGGTTTAATCTGTAGAGAGGACTAGGCATTTAGGTTTTTTTGTTTGTTTGTTTTAATATGGTGTTGGGGATTGAACCCAGGGCCTTGTGCATGCAAGGCAAGAACTGTACCACTGAGCCACACCCACAGCCCCTAGAATAGGTTTAAAACCTCTATGAGCTCACACAGGAACTTTGAATTATTGCCTACACTTCAGGTCTCTACTGCCTTTTCAGCTCCTGCTCTGCTATCAGACTGTAGCATTCAGTGGCATCTAATTCTGGCACTTACACCTTCTTTGTCCTGCCACCCAGGAAGGGCGGGAGCTGTCTCTTGAGAAGCCAGACCTGAAAGCCCTTGTGTCAGAGAAACTGGAAGACCTGCACCGCCGCTGGGATGAGCTAGAGACCACCACCCAGGCCAAGGCCCGCAGCCTCTTTGATGCCAACCGGGCTGAACTGTTTGCCCAAAGCTGCTCTGCCCTGGAGAGCTGGCTAGAGAGCCTGCAGGCCCAGCTGCACTCTGATGACTATGGAAAGGACCTCACCAGCGTCAACATTCTGCTCAAGAAGCAGCAGGTGCGCTATGGGCCGTCAGTGGGGAGGGTGAACAGGAAAAGCAGGAGAAAGGAGGAGGGCACCTGTGGCTCTCGAAATTTGGAAGGTCTTTTTAAGACCTGGCAGCTGACTTTTGGTATTTCTCCAAATAACTTCTATGGGCCAATGGTATCAGAATTTCTAGAGGTGTGGGGCTGGGGATTTAGCTCAGTGGCACAGTGCCTGCCTGGCAAGTGCGAGGTCATGAGTTTGATTCCTGGTACCTGAAAAAACCTAAAAAAAAAAAAAAAAGAATTTCTAGAGGTCTGTACCAGTCAGGGCAAAGTCAGGAGGCAGACCACAGTAGTAATTTGAACAAGGAAACTTCCACTAAAAGAATTATTCATTAGTAAAATGTGGTTAACTACTAAAGATGCTGTCTTAATCCATTTTCTGATGCTGTAACAGACTGCCTGGGACTAGGTAATTCATAAAGAATTCAGTTTGGGACACTGAAGGTCCAAGAACATGAGCACCTACTCGGTTTCTGGTGAGGGCTTCATGCCATGACTTAACATGGGAGAAGAGAAGGGAAACAAGTGCATGCACAAGAGACAAAAATCCACATCTCAAATGTCCCACCACCTCTTTGCACTGTTACATTGGGGACCAGATTTCAGCATGAGTGTTGGTGGGCCAAACCACATCCAAACCATAGCAGGCGTAAAGAGAACTCTATAGCGGGGGTCAGAGAACTTTTTCTACAAGGAACCAAACAATAAATATTTTCACTGAGTGGCCTAAAACTTTGCTGGGGTGTCGTGGGCCATGACAGTCCTGCAGCTGGCAAGCCAGATATGGCCTGCAGGATGTTGCTTCTGGAGTGCTAGCAGAACTTGCCAGAAGGGGAGAGCCACAGCATCTCTTGCACACTGTGCACAGTTTTGTTGTAGGCACAAGAAAAAAAAACGTACTGGAACTTTAGAAGCCCTTCGTGTTGTTTTAGCCCTCTAGCGCCCTCTACTGACAAACTTTGACACTGCACCAGCTACCCAAGGAGAAAAGATCCAGTTGCATCTCAAAACAGCAGAGATGACTTTGGGACTGAAAGAACAGTAAATTGATAGCAGGCATAGTTGTCATAGAACCTTGGATTCTTACATGTATTAGAGTTCAAGATCCACTGATCCAGGCCATGAAGGGATGCTTTGGAGTGAGCCCTGGAGATAAGAAATCACTAGTGCCTTTAATCTTAGCACTCTGGGAGGCTGGGGCAGGAGTACAAGTTCAAAACCAGCCTGGATGACAGCATGTTTGTAGCCAGCCTGGAGCATAAGGAAACACAGTCTCAAAAACAAAGGAAATCACATTTGGCTTGATATAGACTAGTGTGTCCTGAGCTTGGAGGTAGCAAGGTGGCACTAACATCTCCCTCCTCTGGTCTGCAGATGCTGGAACGGGAGATGGCTGTGAGAGAGAAGGAGGTAGAGGCGATCCAGGCTCAGGCAAAGGCACTGGCCCAGGAAGACCAGGGTGCAGGAGAGGTGGAGAGGACCTCAAGGGCTGTGGAGGAGAAGTTCAGGGCCCTGTGCCAGCCCATGAAGGAACGCTGCCAGCGCCTACAGGCCTCTCGAGAGCAACACCAGTTCCACCGGGATGTGGAGGATGAGATTGTAAGTCACTGGGCCCCGGGCACAGGATAAAGTCTTCGTGGGCAAGTCGCCCCGCCTCATGGCTCTCAAGCCTCTTTCCTGGACACTGGGGAAGCACCAGCAGTGCTCCACTCTGTCTTCCTTTGGCCCTGAGAGTCTTCCTCTCTAAGGAGTCTCTGGGATGCCCCCTAGATCCCTTTACCCCAGAGCTAGGGATGCCTGTTTCCTGCACACATCCACAGCCCTAAGCATCCCCATGCTCCAGCCCCAGTGCTGGCTCTGCCCTCTGCACCTCCACTGATCCCCTCTTTCTCATTTAGCTGTGGGTGACAGAGAGGCTGCCGATGGCCAGCTCCATGGAACATGGCAAGGACTTGCCCAGTGTCCAGCTCCTCATGAAGAAAAACCAGGTGAGGCAGAGGCTATGGGAAAAAGAAAAGTTCCCAAGAGCCTCATCTACTTTCCCTGGCCCCACTCAATGGCTACATATTCCCAGACTTAGGGGTTTGCCTTTCCCCACCTTGGGAGGGCAAGTTGTGTTAGGGGACTGTGAGGTCTGACGGGGCATTGCCATCATGTTCCTGGGCCCAGAGAGGGGATGTAGGCTCCAGTCCTTTTGCAAGGCTTTCAGTGTGTCCTTTCCTATGGCTGGGGACAGACCCTGCAGAAGGAGATCCAGGGTCATGAGCCTCGGATCGCAGACCTCACAGAGCGGCAGCGTGCTCTGGGTGCAGCAGCAGCAGGCCCTGAGCTGGCCGAGCTCCAGGAAATGTGGAAACGCCTGAGCCATGAGCTGGAGCTCCGGGGGAAGCGGCTGGAGGAAGCCCTGCGGGCCCAGCAGTTCTACCGTGATGCTGCCGAGGCTGAGGCCTGGATGGGTGAGCAAGAGCTACACATGATGGGCCAGGAGAAAGCCAAGGTGAGAACCAAGCAGAACCAGTCTGTATGGCCCATCTTTCCTCCCCTGCTCTCTTGACATCCACTGTCCCCTCTCCCAGGATGAGCCAAGTGCCCAGGCAGAGGTGAAGAAGCATCAGGTGCTGGAGCAAGCCCTGGCTGACTATGCCCAGACCATCCACCAGCTGGCAGCCAGCAGCCAAGATATGATTGACCATGACCATCCAGAGAGGTAAGCTCACAGGCTTCAAAGGGGCCCAGCTCCCAGGGGATAGGGAAACCTATTCCTGGAAGGTGTAAGGGTATAGCACTTTTTGTAAGAACATTCTAGAAAGCAGGAGAAGCAAGGCCTTGGTGAGGAATTGGGGACCTAATAGGGACGGGCCCCAGAGAACAGACAGGCATCAGTGCAGTGTATCCTAAGCACCACGGTGCCCCCTCTTTGCAGCACACGGCTATCAATCCGCCAGGCGCAGGTGGACAAGCTGTACGCCAGCCTGAAGGAGCTGGCCGGAGAGCGGCGTGAGCGCCTGCAGGAGCACCTCCGGCTGTGCCAGCTGCGCCGTGAGCTGGATGACCTGGAGCAGTGGATCCAGGAGCGCGAAGTGGTGGCCGCCTCCCATGAGCTAGGCCAGGACTATGAACATGTGACTGTGAGTGCAGGGAGGACACCCTGTGGGTCAGGGCTGAGGTTTGAGGACCCATGGGAGACTAAGGCCTCTCAGGGCAGTGCATAGGGGGTCGGGGGCACAAAACCAGGCAAAGCAGGCGCTGTCCCCCTAGGTTTTGAGGTGAATAATTTGAAGGATTGTGCAGAAAGGGAGACATAGGCCAAACATAGAAAGCAAAAGGCAAATTAATTACCAATCACACTTGCTGAACAGAATTTAATGAAATAGGGCTTTAGATTTCCTCCTATAGATTGGGGATTTGGACCCTCATGGTGAGAAAATATAAACCAGAGTTAGAGAATCCTTGTCTGAGGACTGAAGGTTCCAAGTACCTCAGTTGCTTTTGCTAGGACTAGGAGGCATCAGGGAAATCCAGTCACATACTACACAATGGCATTTGGTCAAGAACAGACTGCCTACACAATGGTAGTCCCCTACGATGAGACCACCTAGTGACACTCGAGCCATCTTAGTTTGTGTAAGCACACTCTGACAACACTGCTTTGAAAATCCATTTCTCAGTATGTATTCTTATCAGGTGACACATGACAGTGGGGTGAGAAGCAACTGCAATGCTCCTTAACTCAGCGAGGAGTTCTCAGTTTTGTGGGAGAGGGCTCTGTCAGGCAGAGACCTCACCCTCCAGTGTCATATCCTTGTCCTTACAACTTCTTCCTCTGCCAGATGCTCCGGGACAAATTCCGCGAGTTCTCCAGGGACACAAGCACCATCGGTCAGGAGCGTGTAGACAGTGCCAATGCTCTGGCCAATGGGCTCATTGCAGGGGGCCATGCCGCGCGGGCCACGGTGGCCGAGTGGAAGGACAGTCTCAATGAGGCCTGGGCTGACCTGCTCGAGCTCCTGGACACACGGGGTCAAGTGCTGGCTGCTGCATACGAACTGCAACGTTTCCTGCACAGCGCCCGCCAAGCCCTGGCACGGGTGCAGCACAAGCAGCAGCAGCTTCCGGATGGTACTGGCCGGGACCTCAATGCTGCTGAGGCCCTGCAGCGGCGGCACTGTGCCTACGAGCATGACATTCAGGCCCTCAGCGCCCAGGTCTGACCCCGGGGAGGAAGTGAGCAAGGCTGAAAGGAGACTGTAGGAAATGGGGTGGGATGTCCAAGGAGCCAGGGGGCAAATTTCAGAAATGCTGGGAGGATGACAACCTGGAGGTCACTCAAAGTTAAGGTTGGAATTGTTCCAGCAGTTGGGTGTGGTGACGCACACCTGTAGTTCTGCCACTATGGGAGGCTGAGGCGGAGGATCACAAGTTTAAACCTAGCCTGGACAACTTAGTGACTGCAAGGTCCTGTCTCAAAATAAAAAATAAAAAGGCTCAGGGATGTAGTTCAGTGCAAAGGCCTTTGGTTCAATCCAAAGAATCATTCCCAGAGAACATCTCTAGCCAAGAGACATTAGTCACTGCATTTCTTTTTAATGACAAGCCCCCTTGAGGGGTCCACATTTTCAGGTGGTCCTAGTGGCTGGAAGATTCATGTACCTAAATCTGCCTGTTGGTGAAACCCAGCCTAGAGATTAAGACTCAAAATAATATAGATCCTTCATCCATTTATACCTAGATTCCTGCTGCAGGCTGCATGTCTTATTTTTAGCAATCTCTTAAGGTTCTTCTTGTGCTGGGCAGGCCTCTGGAAGCTCAGCTGCCTAGTGCCCCTAAAAGCCCATTCCCTGGGCTAGGCCCACATATGAGACCCCCATATGAGACCAACAGGGCAGACTATAGCAAGGCACCTGCCTTCATTTGTCCACTCAGCCCCACCCCTGACCTCTGTTCCTTCTGCCTGTTTGGCTGGTAAAATAGGCAGGAGGTAGACAGCAGCAGCCCGCACCAAGGGAGGCTGTAACTCCTGAGAGTCTCCCTACTTAGTCTGTCTCTGACCTGGGCCCCCACAGGTCCAGCAGGTGCAGGATGATGGCCATCGGCTCCAGAAGGCCTATGCTGGAGACAAGGCTGAGGAGATTGGCCACCACATGCAGGCTGTGGCTGAAGCCTGGGCCCAGCTTCAGGGAAGCTCTGCTGCCCGCCGCCAGTTGCTGCTGGACACCACGGACAAATTCCGCTTCTTCAAGGCTGTCCGGGAGCTGATGCTATGGATGGATGGGATTAACCTGCAGATGGATGCCCAGGAGCGGCCCCGGTGAGGCCCATGGTGCCCGACAGCCTCCTTAGGTTATGGGCGTGCGTCTGTGATGGGGCTGGGAACAATGAGTGATACTGTCCCTGTGTCCCTCCAGGGATGTGTCCTCTGCGGATCTCGTCATCAAGAACCAACAGGGCATCAAAGCAGAGATAGAGGCCAGAGCAGACCGCTTCTCTTCCTGCATTGACATGGGGCAGGAGCTGCTGGCAAGGAACCATTATGCAGCGGAGGAGGTAGGTGAGGCTGGGCCAGCCTCACAGAGCAGGCTCAGTGCTGGTTTTTCCTGAGTCTCTCTTTCTGCTTCTTCTCATTCTTTCTTTGCATGAAATCTTTCACTTTTTAACCCCTCAGTTAAAAAGAGATTGCCTATATCCCATCCCTCCAAACTATCTACTTCTGCTACTACCGCTACCACCATCACCACCACATCCCCCTCTTCTTCTTCCTCCCCTTCTCCTCCTCCTTTTCTTCTCCTTCTCCTTTTTCTTTTTCTTCTAATATGGTACTAGGGTTTGAACTCAGGGCCTTCACATTCAGCTACATTCTCAGCCCTTTTTAATTTAATCTAATTTATTTTTGCAATCAATCCTAGAGGCATTCTACCACTGCACTATATCCCCAGCCCTCTCCAAGTTGCCCAGGTAGGACTTGAACTTGCAGTCCTCCTGTTTCAGGCTCCTTCAGTGCCAGGATTACAGATGTGTCCCAGACCCTTTTATTTATTTATTTTTATTTTGCTACAGAGTCTCGCTAATTCACTAAGTTGCTCGGGCTAAGCTTAAATTTGTAATTCTTGTGTCTTGGTCTTCCTGGGTACGAGGTGACAGGTGTACGTTCTCATGCTCAGTTCTTTCTACTTAAAATCACAGGTTCCCCTGTAACCCTCTGGAAAGGCCCTACTGGCTGCTAACTCATATCTCTGCCTCCCAGATCTCAGAGAAGCTATCTCAACTACAAGCCCGGCGCCAGGAGACAGCTGACAAGTGGCAGGAGAAGATGGACTGGCTCCAGCTTGGTGAGCCACTGTGGGGATACCAGGTCTTGGGAGGAGGGGCTGGGCATCCCTTCCTGTGGTTTCCAGGGTAAGAGAGACCAGGAACCCTGGCACTGCTCTGGGGCTATGCCTTCTTCTGTCCTTGTCCCAGGACAGGGGCACTATCCTGCCTGGGCCCCCTCTGACCTGCCATCTCTCTGTGTCCCACAATCCTGGCAGTTTTGGAAGTGCTTGTGTTTGGGAGAGATGCAGGGATGGCAGAGGCCTGGCTATGCAGCCAGGAGCCACTGGTGCGGAGTGCGGAGCTGGGCTGCACAGTGGACGAAGTGGAAAGCCTCATCAAGCGGCATGAAGCCTTCCAGAAGTCTGCAGTCGCCTGGGAGGAGCGTTTTAGTGCACTGGAGAAGCTCACTGCGGTGAGGGCCATGGGTCCCCCACCACCCTGCCCTGGCCCTGCACTCTCTGTTCTTAGAGAAGACATTTATTCTTTTCCCATGGCCCCGGCATCACCCAGGTGTGAACTGAGAGTGTCCCATTCCCACCACCACATTAGGAGTCGTGAGACTCCATCTCCCCCACTACTTCTTGTCCACACCTTTTCAGATTCTCTTCTCTATCCTGTCTGTTTCATCAGACCAGAGCTGAGACTTTTCAGCTTCCCCATGCCTGGCTCCTTAAATGAGGCCTTCTACACGCTGACCTCAGCATTTCTTGACAGCTGGAGGAGCGAGAGAGGGAGCGGAAGAGAAAGAGGGAGGAGGAGGAACGGAGGAAACAGCCCCCTGCCCCAGAACCCACAGCTAGTCTGCCTTCAAGGGAGCTGATAGATGGCCAGACAGCTCGTGGCACTGCCTGGGATGGGTGAGAGCTGGGACTCCTGGGCCAGAAGGATGAGGCTGAGCCCACGGAAGCCAGAAAGTACTTATTCTGTGTCACCTTTGGCCATTCCAGAAGCCAGCCTCGGCAGCCACCGTCCACACAGGCACCCAGCGTCAATGGGGTCTGCACAGACTCAGAGTCCTCACAGGTAACACCATGTCCCTGGGCATCTCCTTCAGACCCCATCCCCCACCCCTCTCACAGCCTCTTGTGCTTGCAGCCCCTCTCGGAGCAGCAGAGACTCGAGCAGAGCAGCTTCCCAGAAGGACCTGTGAGTCCCCCTAGAGTTGTGGGTGTGGATGCCTGGGAGATGAAAGGGCAAAAATGGGTGGGACTCCTGGGGTGAGAGAGGGAAGAGCGCAAGAGAAACGGGGGGTTGGAAGACAGCTCTTGGCCACAGAGCTTCCCATCCTCCAGGTAAAACACCTCCTAACTCATCATTTTTTAGGGGAAGGGCAGTACTGGGGACAGAACCAGGGGCAAAACCCAGGACTTTTGCAATGAGCTACATCCCCAGGAACCCTTTTTATTTATTTTGAGACAAGATCTTCTTAGTCATTAAGTTGTCCAGGCTGGGCTCAAATTTGTGATCTTCCTGCCTCAGCCTCCCAGAGTGCTGGGATTACAGGGGTGTGCCATCATGCTTGGTTCTAACTCATCCTTTGACATGACATTTTTTTCCCTCACAGGGGACTGGTGCAGGGGATGAGGCCAATGGGCCACGGGGAGAGAGGCAGACTCGGCCCCAGGGCTCGGCCTCTCCTGTGATGCCCCAGAGCAGGTCATCAGAGTCAGCCCATGGTGCCACCCTGTCCAGTCGAGGTCCTGAGCTGTCTGCCCAGGAGCAGATGGAGGGGATGTTGTGCCGCAAACAGGAGATGGAGACCACTCTCAAGAAGGCTGCCAATAGGTACCCACACTGGCTGTGCAGTGCCTGTCATCTCTAAACTTCCTCTGCAGAGGCTTCCCTGGAGCCTCTTCCTAGACAGAGAAGGGGCACCCTAAAGTACTGTGTCCTCCGGGAAGGGTAGGATTCAGAACTGGCACAGGCCTCAGGAGATGGCCAGAGGGGGCCTAAAGACAAGGGTAGAACCACAAGTCCAAGGATATCTGAGGCAGCCCCAGGGTTTAGGTCCCACATGGCTAGCCAGTCCTCCCACCCAGCTGGCCTCCTGACCCCACCATGTCCTGCCCAGGTCCTGGCAGAACGTGTACTGTGTCCTGCGGAATGGGACCCTCGGCTTTTACAAGGATGCAAAGGCAGCCAGTGCGGGAGTGCCGTACCACGGAGAAGTGCCGGTCCGCCTGACCAGGGCCCAGGGCGGTGTGGCCTTCGATTATCGAAAGCGCAAACATGTCTTCAAGCTGAGGTAGGAACCAGCCAGTGCTCTCAGGATGGGAGGAGTCGGTGCTGACATAAGGTGGGTAGGCTCTGAGCAAGGTCCAGAGGGGGTCACCTGTAAGGAGCACCCAGGTGGAATTGTCAAACCTAGCACTGAAGACACCCGCAGATGAGGGAGAGCTGGGGGATTCTGGTTGTATGCTACCCTAAAAGAAGTGAGGAAACCAAGAAACAAGCTGACCAACTGCCTATGTCAGGCTGCAAATTTATCCTGGGAAGGAAATCTGGGGGCAGGGTGTCTCCATTCCCCTGCCACCAGTGACCTCCAGGGGCCTGCCTGCCTGCCACCAAGCAGCAGCACATAGCCTGGGATGAGAGTGAGCTCACCCTGGCCCTCTGCAGCCAATCAGAAAGGGTTTGATTTTGCACATCTGCAAAATCCTGGGAATTTGAAGAATGTGCAAAGCAAGTCTGATCTGGCTCCAGGGCTGCCCCAGTGTCCTCCCAGCCAGCCTCTGGGTGAGAATGGAGCTCTCCCGTGCTGACCTGGCAAACAGATTCTCAGCTCTGCCTTTGTGGCTTCTGTTTCCTAACAGCTTACAGGACGGAAAAGAATATTTATTCCAGGCCAAGGATGAGGTGAGCTGTCGCTTCTCCCCCTATGTTCCTCTCTCTCCATGCCATTCTTAGGGCCCACCAGGGGCAGATTCTCTTCCTTTCTCTCCTCTTTCTCTTTTTCCTTGTTTGGTATGTCTCATTCTTACAATAAGACAGCCCACAATGTGCCAACTGGATGTGTATGAAGGCCATACTGAAACATTCCCCCTGTCTTAAAGAGGGCCTCTTTCCTACTTGGGAGGCTGAGGCAGGAGGATTGTAAGTTTGAGCCCAGCCTGGGCAACTCAGCAAAATCCTGTCTCAAAATAAGAAATAATAAAAAGATTTGGGAGTATAGTCCAGTCCAGAGGTCCTGGATTCAATACTTTGTACTACAAAAAAAAAAAAAAAAAAAAAAGGCCTTTTCCTCCTATGAAATGAAATAGTCAACCACGTAACTGCTCTCCCCTCTCACACTCCCACTGTCTACCAGCAGCTGCCCCAGCACAGGGGTGTTGACACTGAGCAGTTTTTCCCTGTTCCCTACAGGCAGAGATGAGCTCCTGGCTGCGGGTGGTGAATGCAGGCATTGCCTCTGCATCCTCCGACTCTGGAGAGCCAGGAGAACCAGCGATTCCCAGTGCCACTCGGGGTATGACTCGGGCCATGACCATGCCCCCAGTATCACAGCCTGGGACTGAAGGGTCCGTTGTGCTGCGCAGCAAGGATGGCAGAGAGCGAGAGCGAGAAAAACGCTTCAGTTTCTTCAAGAAGAATAAATAGTTGGGAAGGGGGTCCAGACTCCCAGGCCAGCTCCCTCCCTCTGTTCAGGAAACTGCCAGGGACTGTTGACAGGGATCACCCTCTTCAGGATAACTGCCTGCTGCTAGGGTCTGTTGCCAAGGTCAGCCCATCACCAGGAACTGTCACGGGACAAGCCAGTGTTCCCAAGCGCAATCTTTTCTTCTGCTGTTTAATTTCAGACTGATGGTGGGACCCAGGCAAACCCCACTTCTGCTCCCGTGCCCCCTTCTTCCCTCTTCCCCCACCCTGTGGCTCCATCTGCCACCACAGTGCGGACAGTGCCGCACCCTGATAGGCCATGTGGGAAATGACTGCCCCTGCCTCGGGGTCATTCTCCCACCACAGCCAGGGCACACCATCCACTACAGGTTCCTTGCCCCCAAGGACCAGCCAGAAACTTCTCAGAGCTGAATTGGAAGGGGCGGGGCAGGGGAGGGGAGTACAGGAGTGCCAGATGATGGAGTCGGAGGTGCTGAAGCCCTCCCTTCCCATCCCGCCTCATCTTCTGACTCAAGTGGCTGCTCCATCTCCAACAGCTCCGGGTGGCTTCCAGGTGTGAGTTGTTTAGGGGCATCCACACCCTTGAGTCTGGCCAAGGAGGTGATTAAACAGCTCAGCTTCTCTCACTGCCTCTGGGTGTCTTTGCTTTCCTGATGACAACCTCTCCACCTGAGCCCATGTTTTTCCTTTGACTCTGGGTCCGTGTACCAGGTTTCCACCCTGCCCCCAGCCTCCACGTCCTCAAAGAACCATGCGTGTGAAAGCCACCCTATCTTGGTCTCATTTCTCTGTGGCAATGATCTCCAGGATGCTGGCTGACCAATGCCAAGCCTCTTTTTAAACCAAAGACACTCACTGTGGGTCAGATGTTAACAAGCAGTATGCGTTCAAAGCAGTGAGTGCTCCCCTGCCTGGTGTATTTTCTTCACTCATGCTTCTCTCAGCTCACCAGTAACGGCAGACTGGGAGCACTGCCACAACTAGTCTCAACTGGTGTTCAGCCAACAGTGAAAACCTCAACACATTGAGGGTGATTATTAACTCCATGTTCTGTCTCCTCCCTGGTAGAATCATGGGAGCTTACACAGAGGTCACAGGAATGGCAGGTTCCCCATCCTCTGACCAACAGAATAATGTCACCCTGAGAAGCCATGAAGTACATCCTGTGCATGTAAAACACAAGTGCACATAGGGTGATATATTCTAGATTGAATGAGGTATTAAAAAAGAAGCAGGTGGTTTATCCCTCATCTCTGGCTTGGCAGTTAGAGGTTTCAGGGCAATAGTGTTTGACTCCCAAGTGTTGTCGGAAGTGACCATTCCTTGGTGACCTTCTACCTTAAGCTTTGTTCTTGCACTGTTTTCTCTACATAAACAACCCCCTTTTCAGCCAAACTGCCACATCCTTAGCACAACTGGGTAAGGGTCCTGACACAGTGTAGCTCCAGAATGGGCTCCAGATATGAGATCTGGTAGGCCAGGTAGGCCACAGGACAATTATCCTTTCTCTTGAGATGGGCAGATTTAGTATTCCTCAGTAACTGTGTAGATAAACAGAACTGCGACATCCTGTCATGGAATAGTGCATGAATTCTACACAGACACCTTAGCTTGTGCTTAAAAAGGAGCTGTAACACGTCTGTACAGTGGCGATCACATTGCAGAGTACACAGGGAATATGGGTGTTCACAGCCCAATGTGGCAAGCACAAATCACTGGAAATTTTAGAAGGAAATGTATATAGGGAGAAAATTTAATGGAGAAATGATCACTGTAATGTAAAATGTCAGTGTAACCATGGCAGCCAATTGCAGTGGTTTTGCAGAACAGCCACCAAAAATGGAAAGGTAAGATGGACAGCATGGTCTTAAGTCATCGGCACACACATGACAACTGAAGCTACTTCAGGGCATGATTCCATAGGGACAGAATGGAGAAGAGGACACATGTAGGGTCAGGTAATCAGTTTTGGGAGAGACACTTTCAGATGTGGATGGAAAAGGGGAAAAATTTCAGGAAAGATATTAGCAGGTGGAATGTGGCACTGGTGAATACAAGACAAATAAGCCACAAAAATACCATCAACCCAAGCACACAAATCAGTGTGGAAATACGGATGAGTTACTTAGAGACAGATGTTTGTACTCACTGAATAGTACATATAGTTGTGGACTCTAGGCTTGTGTTGTCCAATCCAGTAGCTGCTGGCCACATGAAGCTGCTGAGCACTTGAAGTGTGGCAAGTCCAAACCAAGACCTGCTGCAAGTATGATATACTGGATTTCAAGGACTTCGGAGGAAAAAAAATTTAATAGCTCAATTTTTATATTGATTATGTGTTAAGATAATAAGTCAAAAATATTAAAGTGGATTTCAAACTTTTGTTCTATCTTTTTTATGTATTTACTGGAATTTTCTATTTATCTGTTGTGTTGGGGATTAACTCTGGGGCTTTGTGTGTGCTAGGCAAGTGCTCCACTATTGAGCTACACTCCTAGCCCTACAAGAATTTTTTATTTGATTGATTGATTGCAGTGCTGAAACTCAATTACAAGATGTCAGGCATGCTGAGCAAGTGTTCTACCACTGAGCCATATCCCCAGCCTGTTTTAAATAATAATGTGGCTCAAATTATATTTCTACTGGACATCACTACTCTAATGAGACTAGAGATCTAAATGTGAAAGAGAAAAACTGTAACGGTAATAAAAAAAATATATAGACCAGCTCTGTGACTTGGGGGTAGAAGAGGACATCCTATAGGAAGCCCCAAAAGCATGAATTATAAGACCAAAATTGATTAATGTGCTTGCACAAAAACAATAAAGATTCCTGCTCAGTGAAGGACACCATGGACAAAATTAACAACTGATGAAATGGAAAAAAAGATATTTGAAACAATAACAGTATTATCTAGAATATACAAAAAGCTCTACAAATCAACAACAAAAAGGAGACAGCAACCTGAAAGGCAAAAAGATACAAACAGGGAAATTACAGAAAAGTAAAAAAGTCAAGAGCCAAGGGCATGGTCAAAATCATTAGTGACCAGAAAAATGAAAATCAAAGCAAAAAAGAAAATACTATACCTATATGGCAGGCAAAAATCAAACATTTTGGAGAAGTAGTGATGACAGGAGCCCTGTGCCCTGCGGGAGGGAGGGTAGGCTGGGATAGTTTTCCAGGGAACAATTGGCACTGCTTAGACAAGGTAGTTTTATGTGTCCCTACAATCCAGTAACCAGAAATTCCACCCTGGATTTATGTCTCCCCCCAACATTCTCAAAAAGAATTAGGGCACACATATGTTACTCACAATCTTGTTCATAATGATGGGAGCATCCCATACTGTGAACATTGAATATGTCTTATATCCAGAGATAGGTAGACAAAACACGTGGTTGCACAGCCTGGAGTATTGCTCAGGAGTTTAATTTCACACAGCGACTTCACACCTACTGGGAAAAAGTAAGAAATACTGAGCAATACATACAACACAACACCATACTATTTACATGTCTTACACAAACATACAAATATTAGAAAAAGCTTGACTATGAAAAGACATTTGTGACAACTAGGGGAAATTGGAGCATAAATATAGACATTAACATAGCATATGGGCTGGGGATGTAGCTCAAGGGTAAAGCACTTGTCTAGCACTCATAAGGCCCTGGGTTAGGTCCCCAGCACTAAAGAGGAAAAAAAAAGCATAACAATGATGTTTTCAATTAGAAGCAGATAGTGAAGTACTTAGAAGCATGACATTATGTCAGAGATTTGTTTTTAAATACTCCAGAAAAAAAAGTAGAGGGGCCTGGATGAAAGTAAGATCAGTAAAGTGTTGATAATATTGAAACTGGATAAAGAGGCCAAAGGAGTTCATTATAATATCTCTGTATTTGTTCCTTTTTTGAAAATTTTCATGATAATTTGTTTTTAAAGAAAGGAAAAAAATGCCCATTAAAGGACATGACTTCCAAAAACAGACAAACCAAATACTGTACGTTAAGCTCATTAGAATGATTGCCTATGAAGGAAGAGGAATGAAGATAAAAGGGAATGTGGTGGACTGACGACTGGTGGGCAACTTATTATACCCAGCTGAACTGAACAAGCACAGTTCTGGGTGTGGGGGGCCCACCTAAGGGTTGTTGCCTGCAGCATAAGAGGCAGAACTTGAGAGCAGGAAGTTTAGAAGCTGTAGGGAGCTGTTGGTTTTCCTGGAGGAGCTTGTCACACTGGTTTCCTGATGAACTCAGCTGTTCTCATCTTCAGAGGACCTTGTTGTCGCTGAGAATGGCTACAGTTCACTTTGGGGGAGCTCTGGTCCTCATGGTGCACTGTTCAGTCTCCTGGAGAAGCTTGTCGCACTGGCTTTCTGGCTTTCTGCTGTTCTCATGGTTGGAGAGCTCTGGACCTCATTGTTGCTGAGGATGGCTGTGGTCCTTTTCGGGGGAGCTCTGGTTCTTACTTTGAGTGTTGCTTCCTGGTTCCAGTGTAGAACCCTCAGCTTGCTAGCACAGATCCTTCATCCCGCTGGCACAGACTTTCTAGCTTCCATCGCTGACCTCTGGGCCTTCCCAGCACAGATCCGTGAAACAGGCCTGCATGAGACATTGTTGTGGACTCTTGACCTCCAGCTGGACTCATGGGGGACACTGTGATGGGATCTAGGTCTTCAGCTGGACTCTTGCAGGACACTGCTGTGGGATCCTTCTGGGTCTTTAGTGTGTGGACAGATTTCCTGCACTCTCTTGTACATAACTCTTTGGGTGACTATTACAAAATTCTATAAATTATGTGTCCTGTATTGTTCCCCTTGTGAGCCCAAACTACAACAGGGAATAAATGAAAGAATGAAGAAATAGATGAGGGAAGGAGATGGAATGGCACAATCAGCTATGAGGAAAAAAGTGTAAAAACACAGAGGAAAGAAAGATGAATGAAATAAAAGTTTTAGAAGGAGACAAACTGTTAAGGGGGTATTAATTTTGGAGACCTCAGAAAATTTGGGGAATCAGGTGAGAATCTAAAATACAGTGTATGAAGGTGGGTAGTAGCTAATGCAGGCTATCTTGGAGAAGTCTCTCTTGGAACATCAAGGAAGCTCAAAGGAGTAATAGTGAAGGGTAGAGAAAGCCATCCCAGAAATGGTGAAGGAAAGCTATAGAAGTGTCTGAAAGTAAAAAGTTTGAGTGCAGAGAAAAACTGGAAATGCCCAAGAGGAGAAGGGAAGAGTATAGGTAAACAGAATTAGTGGAGGACAAGTGTGAATGTCAGTTATTATAAATGGAAGCTTCTGAAATGCCTGGGAAACAAAAAGAATTCAGTGAAGAAAATCCAAGTAGATGGGAGGGGTCGGGAAGAAGATGTTGGGGAATTTGTGCCTGGATGGTATCAGTGAAACTCATAGAATCATCACAAGGAAGTATGGTGATTGACAATCACCCTGGTACCTCTATTTGGAGATAAACCCTATCGATCTCCATAAACTTGTGTTCGATAGGTGACAGTGAATAATCCACTAATAGCTTCCTTTTGCCACCAGGAGGTGCTCTTGGACCGTAACTGAAGGATGAACGTTTAGTCGAGAGACCTGGTTGCAGCTTGGAGTGGACAGGAGACACCGTCCCACGCCAAAATAAGGAATTTCTCTGGGCCTATGAACCAAGTATCTCTTTGGCTTACCCAAAGGACCCAGACCTAGGAGCCAAGTATTTCTTTGGCTTTTCCATGGACCTGGAACTTTGATGGACAAATGCCTCTTAGACCTACTCCAGCTCTGTCACAGATCATCTTTCTATTCCTTGATTTTCTTTCTTCAACAATGAAGAAAAAAAAATTAAAATTGTTCAAAGAGCCAAGAAAAAAAAAACAAAAAAAAAACTAGGTTCGCTTAAAATGTGGCGTGCCTGTATATCTGAAATATTGCCCCCGTCACCATAGGGACTGATAAGCCTGCTGAGAAAAGCCCATTAGGAGACCTATTAAGATAATCTTTTGTCATCAGCGCCTCCCCTTACCAGCAGGCCCCATAGCACGATCCATTGTGAGGGTTGGTGACTCCACTGGGCTTCCCATTTTACCAAGACAGTGGTTGCGTCCTGAGCCTTTCTGACGCTTCAACCGCGACCCCCTTCCAGGGCGGTAATTGGCTAGTTGAGGCTGGGGGCGGGCCGACATACGCCCTGCAGCGCCGTCACCAGCTCCCCCCGCCCACCCGGGTGTTGGGCGGCTATTTGTGTGCGGACGCGGGATTGGTCGGTCGCCTCCCGCGAGGCGTTGGGGAGCGGGATAACGCGCACTCGCGCGTGCGTGAGCTGGCGCGCGAGAACGGGCCCGGTCGCGCCGAGGCTCGAGCGGCCGCCGCCATTTTGTAGGGTTCTCTCTGACGCGGGAGCCGCCGCCACCACCGCCGCTACCCGGAGGTACGAGGGGGTCTTGGGGGATGTGAGGACCCCGCGGGCTAGCTGAGCCGGCCTTGCAGTGGACGGGGATGGCCGAGGGACCGGGTTTGTCTTCTCGCTGCTGAAGGTCCGGAGAAGACAACGAGAGGAGGCGGGACCGGGTCTCCAGAGGGGGCGGGGCAGGGGTCGGGCTGAGTCTTTGTTGGGGTGAAGGAGCTGAAGGTTGAGCTGTGAGGAGCTGAAGGGTCCCCGTTTGAGGCCAAAGAGGCGTTTTTATTTTTAAGAGTATCTTGGAAAGTGATACCGCACCGTGGAGAGGTACACAGATTTCCCTCCAAAATTGTGTTCCCACGTACACTCTGATGCTTCTTGCCTTCTGCTTAGGCTTTTCTTTTCACTCTCTGTTCAGAGACCTGAAACAGCTAAGCCTGTTCGTTAAATGCGCCTCATCTTAAGGAGAGGTTGACTATGCTGTGCATGCTGACCTCCGACCTCCTGCTGGCACCACATTGTCTTTAAGAACAAATCTCTCTTCCTCTGTCATGGAAAAATGAACGTATGTGTGAAGGTTTTGTGGGTGCCAGGAACTTTGGAGGATTAAGTTCAAACGCTGCAGTGCATTGAAATTTCCCCACTTCACCCCTGATTTTTGAAGTCTTGTTTCTTCTCTTGCAGGCTCTTGTCAGAATGGTGAAGCTGTTCATTGGAAACCTGCCCCGGGAGGCCACAGAGCAAGAGATCCGCTCACTCTTTGAGCAGTATGGGAAGGTGCTGGAATGTGACATCATTAAGAACTATGGCTTTGTGCACATAGAGGACAAGACAGCAGCAGAGGATGCCATCCGTAACCTGCACCACTACAAGCTGCACGGGGTGAACATCAACGTGGAAGCCAGCAAGAACAAGAGCAAAGCTTCAACCAAGTTGCACGTGGGTAACATCAGTCCCACCTGTACCAACCAAGAGCTTCGGGCCAAGTTTGAGGAGTACGGTCCAGTCATCGAATGTGACATCGTGAAAGATTATGCCTTTGTACACATGGAGCGGGCAGAAGATGCAGTGGAGGCTATCAGGGGCCTTGACAACACAGAGTTTCAAGGTGAACTGCTCTGGGGCCCGGGGGACAGAGTTCAGTGAGGGGTGTAGCTCAAAACAGAGGCAAGAACACAAGAGCTAGGGGCTGGCAGGGTAGTCTTTCTCATTCTCTTTTAGCTCAGAGTAACAGATTGTGTTTTTCATTTTTAAGCATAATTTACTCTTGGGGAGGCAAACAGTTCACCTTTTCAGGTTTGCTGAGATATTCCTCACCTGTGCAGGATCTCAGACTGGGTTGCATTATCCTGTGGTCTTCATTCATTGGGATGAGTGCTGTTGGAAGACTAACTTGCCTGGGTAAATGGGAATTTCCTGGGAGAAGGGAGGTTAAACGTCTGTAGCTTACCTATTCTTTTTTCTGGTTATGATCAAAGAAGGGTTATATTTGAGGGTTTAAATGCTTAGAATTTATGGTCTGTTCCTTTGAGGGATGAGAAGTGGTGGGAAGAGAGGAAAAAAGAGATCCAGAGGAAACCATGTATGATAAACTTCGGTGGTAAACCTGGATTTGGGAGAGTACCTTTTGGGCACTCAAATTTGTTCAGTCTCTGGACTGTACAAGCAGAGCCAAAAAAAAAGTCATGGACCATTCTCCTCTAACAACTATTATTAAACCCTCTCAGAGGGATTCTAAAAATTCAAGGTTGCATAGGGATGATGGTCTTGCTTCTGATGAGGTTCCATTAAGGGCATCCTAGAGCATATCATATTGTTTAAACTGATAGTAAAGGCACCTTTGTTGTCATAGTACCACAGGAAGTTGAAAACTAGCACTGTGCTAACATGGTAGCCACTAAATTTACATTAATTGAAATTAAGTAAAATTCAAAATTCATGTTTTCATTTGTACTGTATACTTTTCAAGCACTCAGGCCTAAGAGAGTAATGGCTACTGTTTTACCACACACAACATTTCCATTATCATAGAAAGGTCTGTTGGGTAGCACTGTTCTGCAAGGTTTTTGTTAACAATATGTTGCACCACATATTCACAACCACTTTTCTCCTGCCTAAATCAACATCCTTTTTTGTTCTGAGTGCCACTAAAAAAGTTGTTGAGTACTGAGACCAGCCTTGGTGGCACATACCTATAATCCTAGCACTCTAGGAGGTTGAGGGAGGAGAATGGCAGGCTTGAGCCCAGCCTGGGCAGCCTAGCGATTTAGTAAGACTTTTTCTCAAAATAAAAAAGGGCTGGGGGATGTAGCTCAATGTGAAGGCCCTGGCTTCAATCTCTGCTACCAAAAAGGGGCGGTGGGGGGTAAGTACTTAAAGATCCTTCTGCTAAGCCTAGAAAACAGAATGAAAAGAAATAATGGGAAAAAGAAAAAGTTCAACAGAGAAGGGTAAGAAAATGTACAAATAATGGAGTTGGTGGAAGAGCACCATCAAGAATCCCTGCCTTTAGCCAGTGATGTCTTGGTCTTTAGCTGTTCTTTAAGGCGTAGATCATAAAAAATTGTAGGTGTATGCTACCATTAAGTAGCAAGTGGACAAGTGTTTTAACCTCTCTGTGCTTCATTTTACCCACTGTAGTGTTAATGGTCCCTGCCATCCTTCCCTCACAGGACAGTAGTAAAACTAGAGTGAATTAATAGATGTTGAAGTGTTTTGACAGTAAAAGCAGTGTATGAAGAAAGGAGAATGCTGTTCGTAGCTACCATTCCTGTTCTGGTTAGAAAATTTGGGTGTTTTTGGTTTTTGCTTGTTTGGGTTGTTTTATTTTGTTTTGAGGGTACTGGAGATTGAGCCCAGGGCCTTTGCACTGTACTTCATCTCCAGATTTTTTATTTTAAAATGGTCTTACTAAATCATGAAGTTGCCTAGGAGGGGCTGGAATTTATGGTCCTGGTTTAGCCTCCCAGAGTCCTGGAATTACACATATGCATGTTCACACTCAGCTCAGAAAGTTATTTAAAATGTAATAATTAAGCCTTCCTGAGCTGGGTGTGGTGGTGTATGCCTGTAATCCCAGCACTTGGAAGGCTGAGGCGGGAGGATCTTTGTGAGTTGGAGACCAGCCTGGGCTACAAAGTGAGCTCAAGGCCAGCCTGAACTGCATAGCGAGACCATGTCTCAAAAAGACAAAAAAATAAAAATAAAAAAATAAAAGCGTTATTATTTTCATTTGATGTAGAAGGAGATCATTGGTGGAGAGAGAGAAATGCAGGCTCTTTCTTGACAGGTAACAAAATGTAAGAGGATGTAAAATTCAGCCACAAACTGCAGAGATATTCTGGTAGTGTACTTCTGTATACCATTTTTTGCTTTTTTTTTTGTTTTTGCAGTACTGGGGATTGAACCCAGAACCTTTACACTGAGTTACATCACTGGCCCTTTTTATCTTTTTTATTTGAGATAGGAGCTTTCTAAGTCACTAAGTTTGTCCAGGCTAGTCAAACTTGCAATCCTTCTGCCTCAGCCTTTTTGTTGTTGTTGTTGTTGTTGTTGTTGTTGTTGTTGTTGTCTGTTTTTGAGACAGGGTCTCACTATGTAGTTCAGGCTGACCTTGAGCTCACTTTGTAGCCCAGGCTGTACTTAAACTTCCAACAATCCTCCTGCCTTAGCCTCCCGAGTGCTGGGATTACAGGCGTGTGCCACCAAGCCCAGCTTCTGCCTCAGCCTTCTAGAGTACTGGGCTTATAGATGTTTACTGCCATGTCCGGTTTTGCCCTTGCCTTTTTAAATGTACAGTTGAGTAAAATAAAAGGCAACAGTATGTATAAAGGAGATCACTTACCTAGGAGCAGTTGGGTTAGGGTGATTATGGGGGTTTTTGTTTTAGTTTCAGGGTTTGTTTCCAGTCTCTGGCCTAGTCAAGACCCTGTAGCCCTCCAGAGGCCTTGCTGCCACTAGCTGTGGTGTTTTGATGCTGGGCATTGAACCCATGGTCTTGTACTTGCTAAGACACACTCCACCACTGAATTACACCTCCAGCCCCAAGTATGTGTTTTATAAAGCAGGTATAATTACTTAGGAAGTAGCCAGGTATGGTGGCGTATGCTTGTAATCCCAGCACTCTAGGATGCTAAGGCACAAGTATCCCAAATTCAAGCCCAGCCTTGGTAATTTTAGCAAGACTCTATCTCAATAAGAAAAGGACTGGGGATATAGTTCAGTGAGAAGGCCCTGGGTTCGATTCCCAGTACTATCACCAGATCACTTCTGGGCTTCATTTGGAAATTTTCATGGTATCTGTGTGGCTCCTCTGGAGAGAGTGGTCAACTCTGAATTATATATACGGACATTTTAGTAGCCAGCTGTTTTAGTTTTCCCAGATGACAAAAAAGTTTAGGAAAATATAATAGAAAATATAATCTAGGTAGTATTTGGCATAGTTTTTAAGTTTAAAATTTTTTTAGTCGTTACTAGTGAAAGTGACTGCAAAGTGCCACTTGGGCATCTTCTGAATCTTTATTTCTGTATTTAATGTTCATTTAAGGCTTTACATTGTATAACTCCTAAAAGGAAGCTATGGAACCTGAGTTTGCCTTAGTCAGTATACTGTATGTTTCCTTTCCACAAGCATCAGTGAACAGTTTGCATTAGAAGGCCCTAGGAATCTGTCCTAGGTAACCAATTCAGGGAGGTGCATTAAGAAAGAAATAGTTTAAGTGTATGTGTCTCATTTTTGGTATTAAATCAGAATGCCATTGAGTATCAGCTTCATCTCCAGTCTTCTCAGGATCTAGACGTATGATAGAAGCCAAGAAATTAAGACGCCAAGTTTTGCCATCTCACAGTGTTTTAATACTCTCTTCTGTTCCAGCTTTCAAGAGAAAATACTTTTTAATGGGCTGGTTTTCTGGAAAATTGGCAGATTTCAATAACTTGGAGGTTACTGAAAGCTTTGGCTTGTCTACATATAGCAGCATGGTAGAATTTAATCATCTTTTAATTTTTTTGCCCTGGTTCCTAAAGGCACTAGAAGAGCACAGTACTTTTCAATTATAAGAACTTTAGGAGCTGGTTGTGGCATGTCGGTAATCTCAGCACTCAGGAGGCTTGGGTGGGAAGCTCTCAAGTTCAGGATCAGCCTGGGCTACACACAGCAAGTTCAAAACTGGACTATCTAGGAAGACCGTGTCTCAAAAAACCAAACAGACTTTAGGGGACTTAAGCTGAAAGAAAGCCTGGTTGTAGTTTTTGGAATGACTGTTAAAAAACAGAAAACAAGGTATTTTTAGTTTTAAGTAAAGGGTTTTGTTTTTGTTTTTTACTGGTATCCTTTTCACAACTACACAGAGGTAGATTTAGTAACTTACAAATTTACAGTTTTCCTCCATCCAAATAAAAAGAAGGAATGAAGGTTGGTTTTAGTATCAGAAACATGAAAGTAAAATCACTAGATTTTGTTTCTCTAGCAGAGGAACCCAGAATCTATGAAAGTGTTAAAGTTTAATTGGATTTTCTTACAAATGTTGCATTGGGAGCTTTTTAAATTGATATGGTTACTGTGACTAATTGGAGCACAGTTTCTGTCTGTCACATGCTTTCTGAGACAGGGTGTTGCTATGTAGTGCAGACTGGCCTCGAGCTCCTGCCTTGATTACAGGTGTGTGCCACCATGCCTGGCTGTCTACAGTCACGTATCTTAATGTCACCATGCATGTTTGTAAGCCACATAATTTGATCCTCTAAAGAAAACTCTACATTTGAAATATAAATGTAGGCAGAATCTGGGCGTGGTAATCCCAGCACTTGGGAGGCTGAGATAGGATCACCATAAGTTTGAGACCAGGCTTGGGCTACAGAGCAAGACGCTGTCTCAAACTAACTTCTGAGGATGATTGGAAGTATTTAAATATCTGAAAACAGTGAGATTGGTGATGGGCTTCAATTATTGCCATTTGCTGTTGATGTTTATCAGTGTGATGATGGATGCTGTCTACCTGCAGGTCAAAAGTCTGAGCATCTTTGTTTCTGCTAAAGAAATCAAAGGCAGATTTGGGTCTGGTAGCTCACTCCTGTAATTCCAGCACTTGGCAGGAGGATCCCTGTGAGGTCAGGGGCAGCCTGAACTACATATCAAAACCCTGTCTCAAAAAAACAAACCAAACAAAAAAAAAAATTGAAGACAGGAAGTATTGGAAAGTAGGTAAGGCCTTCTAGACATTAAGCAGAACTGACTTTGACTAAGGTGATGTGACCCTGCTAACTTGCTGCCCTCTGAGCATCAGTACATGGTGGTATGCTTGCTGCCATCCTGAATTGGGCTGTTTCCAACAGGGCAGGATGGTGAAGCATGAGACTTGTATCGCACAGCTACTAAAGGGTTTGTTGAAAACAGCAACTTGCTGATGCTGGAGGGGACGATTTGTTCTCAGTAGCCTTTGACAGTGATGACAAGTCCTTGTTCTTTATGTCTATACCAGCTGCCTTTTGGCTACCATTTAAAAAGCATTGACTTGACTGCAAAGTCAACTAAGTTACTACCACATACCTTTTACTACACCTTTTTCCTAAACTGCTTTGGAAGACTTTGGATGCTTTCACCAGTAAGGGCCCCTGCATTACATAAGCCCTAGGCAGACCGTTTCTTCTTTTAGCTGTTTTTTAGTGCTGGTCATTTCCCAAAAGCATGGATAGGCCATTAGGTACATGTTGCCTAAGTAGAGAATCTCCTATGAAGAATTGTATGCTATGTGATAAGATGAAATACTAATGATTCTATTACATGGGAACACATTGTCCTTAAGAAGCTGGTACTGTTTCAAGATCTTCCTAGTTATTGTTAACAGACCTTGGTCAAATAGTTTTTCTTTGGAGAAAAAAGTATGTGGGGGCCGAGCAAGGTGGCATATGCCTATAGTCCCAGCACTTGGGGGCTCAGGCAGGAGATTTACCATGAGTTCCAGACAAGCTTGAACTATATAGTGAGTTCAGGGCCAGCTGAACTACTTACATAGCAAGATGATGTCTCAAAAAAAAAAGTGCTGAGGGAGGGTTTGGAATCTAGAGGGTTTTATGACCCTCTAGAAGTATGAGAGATGAAGCACATGGTAAATCTGGTATGGTTTGGATATCCAGCATAGCCTTCTGGTGACATACAAATTGCTGTGGGAAAACAAGATGGACAGAAGATTGCTATTGGGTTTTTTGTTTGATTTTGCTTGTTTGTTTTTTCCAACACTGGTAATCAGACGTAGCACCTCATGCATGCTAAGCACATGCTCTTACACTGTATACCTGGCCAACTGCTGTGGTGGTTTTGTTTTTTTTTTTTTTTTTTTTTCCCCCTTTCAGGGAGCGTACCAGGAATAGAACTCCGGACCTTGTGCTTGCCAGGCAGGTGCTGTACCACTGAGCTATCTCCCCAGCTCCTGCTGTGGTTTTTAAACTAAATCAATAAAAGATGGGGAAGATTTACCTTCCAAATGTGGCATAACTGAGGGGATTTTTTTGTTGATGTTTTATTTGGAAGTATTGGCAGATTTTGAACTTTTACAGTTAAGAGTCTTGATGAGAAATAGAAAATGTTTACTTATTTGTTGTGGAGGGAAGAAAAGTTAGTGACAGAGGTAGGAAGGTTTCTGCTACCTGTTGGTATAAGAAAGGATTGACCCAGGTGTGGTGATGCACACCTGTAATCCCAGCACGTGGAAGGCTGAGGCAGGCAGATTGCCATGAGTTTGAGGTTAGTGTAGGCTACATAGTGAGTTCAATGCCATTCTGAACTACATAGTTCAGTAGTTCAGTTTGGCCTATAAAAACCAAAGCAAAAAAAAACTGTCTTGGAGGATGTAGATTTTCTAGCTCTGAATTGAAACTTCATTTCAGCTACATTTTTGGAGAGGATTACTGAAATAGCGTTATAGGGGAGTGTGTGTGTGTGTATTTTGTGTATCTTATGTTTACTTTCATTTTGGGGAATATGTCAGTGAAGTGAGGGGTGGTGGTATATGCCTGTAATCCCACCATTTGGGAGCCTGAGGGAAGAGGATTGTGAGTTCAAAGCCAGCCTGAACTACATAGTGAGACTCTGTCCCAAAACCCCTCTTCCCCAAGAAGAAAAGAATGTCAGTGGGTTATAATAAATCTTCTTAAATCTGTTTCCTTAAGGCAAAAGAATGCATGTGCAGTTGTCCACCAGCCGGCTTCGGACTGCTCCTGGGATGGGAGACCAGAGTGGCTGCTATCGGTGTGGAAAAGAGGGACACTGGTCCAAAGAGTGCCCAGTAGACCGTACAGGGCGCGTGGCAGACTTTACTGAGCAGTACAATGAACAGTATGGAGCAGTACGCACACCCTACACCATGGGCTATGGGGAATCCATGTATTACAATGATGCATATGGAGCACTCGACTACTATAAGCGCTACCGTGTCCGCTCTTACGAAGCGGTGGCAGCAGCTGCTGCTGCTTCTGCATACAACTATGCAGACCAGACCATGTCTCATCTGCCTCAAGTCCAGAGCTCAGCTGTGACCAGTCACCTCAACTCCACTTCTGTTGATCCTTATGACAGACACCTGTTGCCGAACTCTGGTGCTGCTGCCACCTCAGCTGCTATGGCTGCTGCCGCCACCTCTTCCTCCTACTATGGAAGGGACAGGAGCCCCCTGCGTCGTGCTGCAGCTGTGCTACCCACAGTTGGAGAGGGCTACGGTTATGGGCCAGAGAGTGAGCTGTCTCAGGCTTCAGCAGCTGCACGGAATTCCCTGTATGACATGGCCCGATATGAACGGGAGCAGTATGTGGACCGAGCGCGTTACTCAGCATTTTAAAAACTGGAGGTGAGAGTGGGGTGGGTATGGTTAGGAGATTCTATTTAGTTCCCTTGCAAGAGACCCTTGCTTCATAGAGGCTAGAGCCCATCTGTTTGCTGCTGGGACAGTACCCAAAAACGTACAAATTACATGTTAATTTTCGGTATTTCTCTACTCTAGACCATGGATTCATTTGACCTTTTGAGGTTTTAGTGTGTGGCTCCAACTTCCTCCTCCTGAGAGCACAACAAAGTCCTTTTGCTAGACAAAATATTCTTTAATAAGTTGAAAATAAATTTTGGGTTACAGCAAAGTGTAAGAGAACTAACATTTGTTAGGTGTCTTCTGTGTATAAGAGGTGTTTTCCCATACAGGGATGTGAACTAAGGCTTACAGAAGTTCAGTGTTTTGCTCAGTCATTTGGTAAATGAGAGGTAAAATCAAAATTCAAATTTAAGCTTGTCTGAATCCAAAACCAAAGCTCTTTGCACTACCAAAGTTGCTGTGATAAGGTAAAATGGTACAGGTTCAGAAGTCATAATGGATAACACAGTAAGAACTTTTAACTTTAGCCTTTCAGTTTGGTAATAAAACTAATACTGGGTCATTAGCCTTCATTATATATGAAGCTTCTCAAATGTCATATTGGTAAGCCAGGTGAAGTCCTACATGTATTAAGTATGAAGTTACAAGACATTTATTTGAATGCAGAATATTTTGATGCTGTCCCATGTAGTTCTTTCCTTATTCAGATCCAGACCATTTGTTTTATACAGACATTTAGACCACATAGCTGTGATATGCTTGTGTTTCTTCACCAGTTTTTGTCTTTAAAAGAGGAACACAAGGATTAGATAAACTGGTAATTTTCTGATGTTCATAAAAAGCCATAGGTGATGACTCTGAAAATTTAGTTTCCCTTTGTCAGGAAATGTGCATCAAAGGTGTTGGAATGGCAATAATTAGCATTTGGAAATTGCATGAGTAGAAATGGCATCATGACAACTTTATATTCTCATGTGTTTTCATGTGGTTTGAAATTGAGCATCACTTAAATTGGAGTTTCAGGAGTAAGATTAACCTGAATTAACCATTAGGCTTCCAAGGTTCCTGATTTACTCCCACTGCTGGTGTTATTTGTAGAAGAAAACAAAACTATAGGATTTCCTTTTTGTGGAGTAAGGAGCAAATAGGGCATGAACCTGTGATGAGTTATATCATACATAACCATGTCAGTAAGACTCTGGATTTTCTTGGACCATTGTGCAGCAGTATGTGTGTTAAGTAAATAATTCTAAAACGATTAATTTTTACAGCTGGATCTACTATGAGGTGAGATGCCTCTGAAGTTGGTATCAGTCTATTAAATAACTTCTGTTTTTCTTAATTATGTTTCAGAGTTAAATACTAACTTTGCAGTCTTTAAAGGGTATTGCTAGGGCATTTTAAAAATAAATTTTAACTGGGAGACAAGTGGTTGTTCAACTAACTTCTTTTTAGTGATGACTTTTAAAGAAACTTACCTTCCAGGTGTGAACCTCAAATGGACTGAATAACCCTGAGTTGGTTGCAGTCCCAGGAGCCTGATGTTAATGAGGCTGCCAGGATGAAATACAACACAACTGTTGGGGATCCAAATTCGGGTCTCACCCTAGCAGAACTGAACAAGAACGTCACAGCTTTTGAAGTCGATTGGCACAGATCAAGACCAAGATTTGGCCCTTTGTCTGTAATAAGTAGAGGAACTTGGTGTGAGTTAACTTTTTTTTTCCCCCAGCCATTGGTGTCTGGAGTTTCCATCATCAATGGAAGAATTAGAGAATTCTAGCAGTGATTTATTCCTTGAGTTGGCAAGGGAGCTTTGGTCAATTTGGGGAACTACTAGAACTGTGGTTCTAAATCTGTGACAGTGTGACATGTAGATGTATTAGAAATAAGTGAGTAACTGACCACTCCTTGAGACTCTATCCTTTGTGACTCATTTTTGGAAGTTTGTTTATATGGAAGATTAAAGTAAAATGAAATACACTTAGAATGATATAGTCGGGCTGGGCATGGTGGTGCACAGCTGTAGTCCTAGCTATTGAGGAGGATCATGGATCACTTAAGCCCAGCAGTTGGGGCCAGTTTAGGTGTCTTTACCAAAAATTTAAAAAGAGCAGTTGGCCATATGAATTTGAAATCTCAGCATGTTTTTCCTGGATGTAAATATTAAATTTTAATTCTTGACATTGTGTCTATGCCCTTTATTGGTGTCACAGCATTCCATCCCAGGTTTTTCTGCTTAAAAGATTAAGTGTGAGGTGAGCATGGTAGCACAGACATGTAATCCTACCACTCTAGGAGGCTGGAGCAAGACTGCAAGTTCAAGCCCACCCTAGGCAACTTTGTGAGATCCTGCCTCAAAATAAAAGGGCCAGGGACTTAGTTCATTGTGAAAGCCCTGGGTTCAATTCCCAGTACCACAAAAAAAAAATTTTAAAAGGATTTTTGTTTTGTTTTGCTGATACCGTTCAGGCTGACCTTGAACTACTTAGGTAGCCAAGGCTGGCCTTGAACTCACAGCAATCCACCTGCCTCAGCCTCTCAAGTGCTGGGACTACAGGCGTGTACCACCATGCCCGGTTAAAAAAGATTAAGAAAATGAGTTGAATTTATCACCAACACAGTAGTCTTCCAACTAGATTGCATCTGGTCCTATGTGTGACTATAAATAGATCTGTATATATATATATGTAGCCATTAGTAGACACTTAGGTAATGTTGTGGGATGTAAGTTCAATGTAGTCTGACTTGGTGTTGTTTTGTTCTTTTTCTTCCCCTTGGAATACAGGACGAGACCAGGGCCCTTGTACTCCAAGCCAAGCTGCTCTCCAGGCATTGTGTAAGCCTCTTGTGTTGTGCTCTCTTTCAGGTAGGATAATTGCGGACTGAACCCTCGGGCTGCGGTCATATATGAGAACTTGCTCCGCGCGGTCCCTTTTGCCGGGATGTTTCCATTGCTTCATGTTTCAGTAAACAAAGGAGTTTGTGACCAACTATGTTTTCTTTCTTAATTTAATTCTAAGTTCACTTTTCTTTCCTCCTGATACTAGTGTCTGTAGCCTTTCAATCTGTTCCTTATATTCTCAGCCTCTGAGCAGCCCTAGGTAAGGATTATGCTGGCAACCCTTTTCCTGTACAGTGGAATCCCTTTTATCTTGCTTTTCCTTAGGAGTTGAACCCTTCTCCCTGCCTACCTGCAGCATCTCCTTTCCCTTTAAAATGACCATGTAGTGGCAAGCAGCCTTTTCTCTGTTAGCTCTGGACTCTAACATTGAAGCTACTCTTCTGAAATTGCTAGGTCCATTGGAGGTTTTGTTGTTGTTTTGTTTTGTTTTCTGTCTGACCTGTGATCGTGATACAGCATTAGCTGAAATTTAGCCTTGTTTTCTCCACTCCCACTTTTTTTTAAATTTTTTTTGACAAATAAACATTTCTAACACTTTATCTTCTTGTGTGTGTGTGTGTACTACCAGTATCTTCAGATTCTTTCTCACTTGTGCTCAAGCTACAAAATTCAAATGAATGGAGATCTTAAAATATAGATATAGAAGGAAGGATTCAGTAAGAGTAATGCAGGCTTCAAAAATAGGTACTGTGGTGGTAAGAAGCTGGTCAGAATCTTGGTAACACTAGCTGGTGGTCAGACTTTTTTCTAAATAACTAGAGCTGTTCTTTCAATGCTAGCTAGCAAACCCCAATTAGTAGAGAAACCCCACAGAAAGCCTAGGATCAGGAAAGGGCTGAACCATAATTTTTTGGGGTGTGGGGTAATCTCAGTATGTAGTTCAGGCTGGTCTTGAACTGAACTCATTAGGTAGCCCAGGCTGGGCTTTAACACATGATAATCCTCCTGCCTTAACCTCCCAAGTACTGGGAATACAGTGAACCACACCATTTCTTAAGGACTTGCCAGGTTGACTCAATTGGACTTTATAATTTGCTGGGCCAATATAAAGAATGTACATTTGAGACTTACTTAGCATCCTTCCCCAATGTTTGTCCTCTTTTTTGAGACAGTGGCTTGAACTATGTAGCCCAGGATGGCCTGGAACTCACAGTGATCCTCTTGCCCCAGCCTACCAAGTGCCAGCCTTACCTTTTTTGCTAGGCTAAAATGCTCTAGCTGAAACAGTAAGATGGTTTTGACAGATTTAAAAAAGGGAAATAGAACAGAAAAGCAAATACACTGTTGATGATTAGGAGTAAAAACATTCTAAAATGTCTCTCCTAGATTTTTTTTTTTTAAAGAAAATAGGTATTTATTCCCCATGTACCCTGTATGGGAATGAGGACATAAATTCTGCTCAGCAACCCAGGCAGCTAGGCAAAAGGATCACAGGTTCAAGAACAGCCTGGGCAGTTTAGCAAGACCCTATTGCAAAATGGTCTGAGGCTGTATGGTGGAATGCTTGCACGTGTAAGGCCCTAGGTTTTATCTCTAATTCCATAAAAACCTTGATGTTAAGAGTTCAGAGAGATGGGCAATTTATACAATCCTAAAATAGCTTTTCCTTGAGCTTGGGACATAGTTCAATGGAAGTACTTGCCTAGCATTTTTGAGGCCCTTGGTTCAATTCCCAGTACTGAAAAAAGTTTTTCTTCATGTCTTAAAATTGAAACTTTAAAGATAGTTCTTAAAACTGTACTAACTGGGTAAGTAGCACACACCTGTTAATCTCAGCACTCTGGGAGGCTAAGGCAGAAGGGTCATAAGTTTGAGCCCACCTTGGCAAGTTTAGTAAGATCCCCAAAATTAAAGAAGGAAAAAAGAGAAGGGCACTAGGGAATGTAGCTCAGTGCAAACGCCCTGGGTTCAATATCCAGCAACCCCACCCCGACCCCATAGAACTATACTTATCAGTATCCTATAGAGAAAGTGAGTGTTTGTGAAGGATGTTGAAAGCAGTGATGTTCCTGGTCTGGTTTCGAAGCAGGAAGCTACACACCAAGCCTTTCACTTCCATAAATTCCTTTCTGAGCTGGTCAGCTATTTGGGGCAGGGTTCTGGACATATACCCAAGCAAGATCCAGCAGTAGAAGTACAAGGGAAAATAAACCCTAGCCTGATTGAAATACCACTGCTAGGAGAATTCCATTGTTCAACACCTTCCTAGGATGCTAGGAAAGGCAGAGTTACTGAGCTCTACCTCAGCGCAGCAAAAGCTCCAGCTGTGCAAGCCATGCTGTACCTTTTAGGCCTGAGGCAGCCTCCATCCTACCCCCTTATTTTAAGCCACATAATGGAGTTATAGTAGGTCCTCATGATGGGCAGAAAAAGGTTGGATGCCTGCAAGATGGTTTAGAAAAGGGAAGCAATTTTCCCACGATTGGCTTCCTGGCTTGCCTCTGGAGATAAAGGGAAATAAAACATGTTCCTGGGAAGAGCTGTTAGCAGAATCAGTCTTAGCACCTTGAGTGAAAGCATGGATGTGCTCTACTGCCAAGAACCGAAGCACAGGAAACAGCAGAAGCAGCTCCAAGAACCCACACAGGAAGAGCAAAAGATTTGGTGCAGTGCGTATCAATAGGAGTGCAGGAGCCAAGCATAGTGGCATTCAGGAGGCTGAGACAGGACTGCTGTGAATTCACTGCCAGCCTGGGGTACAAAGTGAGTTCTAGGCCAGTCTGAGCTATATAGTGAGACCCTGTCTCAAAAAAAAAAAAAAAAAAAGTGCAGAGCATGTGAGGATCCAGGCCAAATAAAAATTGCACATCCATCATTTCCACTAATCTACAAAAACCCAGCAAACAGCATAGTTCACTCTCCCAGTAATTAAGGCAACTTCTGGTTTAGAAAGGTTAAATGTTCTGTGCCCCAAGTAGTAAAGAAAACACCCCTGATTCCTGGTACTTGTTCACTAGAAAGCTGCAGGTAGAAACTACTTCAAATGAACAGGTAACAGACCCACAGTCCTAAGAGGTCATATTCATCCAAGGAGGAAAGTTTTCAAACTCTTCATAAAGCAAGATGAACTATGCTTCCAGGAGCTAGCTAGCCCTTGGCACTAGCGTAAGAAGCTAATGTCAAGCAGAACAGTGGCTATAATTAGCAAAGTGGCCAGCAAAAGGGTCATTTCCTGCACTGTGGGCACCACTGTTCCCTCCACCTTGGAGGTAGCCAATGCACTTCAGTGTCCATGTTTGTAACTGTACCTCATGCTACAGAGTGAGGAGTCCGATCTGCAGCCAGTTTGCCCAGGTGTGGCCACACTCCCAGGTGCAGCTCCCTAGCCTGAACCACATTGCAGTGAATGGTAGAAACATGGGTCAACAACTCTACCACCAGGCAGGCAAGGCAAACTCCGTGTGCTCATCCCTTCCAGACCCTGGGAGTGCCAGGAAAGGGCTCATACCCCATTTTCCACCCTTCCCCAGGATTCCTGGTGATGGCCCTGCCTGGAAACTAGAGCCCAAGCACACCTGCCTGGGGAGCTGGCTCAGCTGCTGGCCCTAAGCCCACTCACAACTGAAAGTCAGGACTCAAACCCAAGTTTTCCTATGGTCTTGGGCATATAACAACCTCTCTGAGCCAGCCTATATTGAATGAGACTTACCTATGGGCTACTTGAAGCAGTAAAAGCACTCCATAAATGTTGGCTATATTACTAGGCTCTACAGAGCTATCAATGACAAGCTAAGGACAGTGTCCCAACCCTCTTGGAGCTCACCAACTGAGGCAGACCCTCAAATACACTAATCCATGCTGACAACTACGAAGATGTTTCTCTGCAGAGAGGTAGGATATAAGGTCCAGGTGGGACTGAAAGAAGTTAAGGAAGGAGGCTGCCAACACTCCCAAAATCTACTGTGAGGGATAACATCTTAAAGCTACCAGCCTTCCTAGGCATAGATACTGCCACTAGCTCTCTCATTCTAGACTGCTGAACTCTGAACTAATGGACCATCCAGGAACCCTCTGATCCCACTACACACTCTGGCCCTGGGCTGAACTCATGTCTTTCTCTTGCAGTATTAGGGACTAAACCCAGGGCCTTATACGGCATTCTACCACCGAGCTATAGCCCCAGCTTTCTATTTCGAGATGGGATTCACACTACATTGCCCAGGCTGGGCAAATGTACTTTTGAATGTACAATCCTCCTGCATTAGTCTCTGGACTAGTTGAGATTACAGGTATGCACCACCCTGCCTAGCTCACATTGTTTTTGTTTTTTGTTTTTGAGACAGGGTCTCACTATGTAGTTCAGGCTGTCCTCAAACTCATGGCAATCCTCCTACATTAGCCTCTGACTGCTGAGATTAAAGGTGTGCATTTTTGTTTTGTTCTTCATAGCTTCTTAAATGACTATTGCCTACTAAAACAAGAGAAGGAATAATGTAGTAGGTAGTATCTTTCCAAGGGAAGCACATCATTCA